GGATCGAAACGTCAGGCCCTCCTTATTTGTGGTTAGAAAAATAAGAATAAACGACTTTCGCACATTTTTGTTATTCTATCCCTAACAGTTTCAAGAACAGTTACGTTTTGCCTGTTCCGGGATGAGGTTCATCGCACTCTGCGGTGCAAGAGCCGCTGGCAGACAGGTTACCTTGCACTTCAAAGAGATAAATGATTCATTAGGCCAGTTTTGACGAGGACCACGCATTTGTTTTAGTTGATAACCCATCAGTAACATACACAAAAGCAAGGAGGAAGTAGGTAATTTGTGATAGCCCTGTGCTATTGCTTATTTTTATTGTTCAAATTGCTCTTTTTATTGTATAAATTGCTCCTTTTATTGTATAAATTGTTCATTTTATTGTTCAAATTGTTCTTTTATTGCCGGGGGAAGTTACGTTGGGTTGTGTGCGGAACGACACCATCAAGATAAACACCCAATCTACATAGTCCAGTGAGATTTTGAAATTCATGGGGCTTTTTGACAAATCTCACTAAAGTTTTGAACCTTGACTAAGTTTCAAAAATTCACTGGACTGTGTAGAATTGGTGTTTATCTTGATGGTGTTGTTCCGTTCAATATTCCAACAGTACAGTGCATGCCCCAAAATGAAGGTCATTTGGAAGGGCGTGCGGGATCTATGCCCTCAAGGCTGCCCTAAGATCGAATGACCTGGCTTTTTTAATACCGAACTGGCTCATTACATTGCCTTTTTTGAACTAAACTGGCTCTTTCATCTCCAGAACCAAAAAATGTATGTTTAGGTGCTCAGCCATCGTCTTCAAGTAAGTGTTCAATTAATTATGCAGAGATTAAAGGAGTTAATCTCCATATTAAGATGGCGTACAGCGAGTGGTTGTTGTGTAGAATGCGTAGGGTTGGTGAAGGAACAGACATGAAAAGTCAAGACAAGCTGTCACGGACACATAAAGGTCAACCTCAAAGATGCCCGCATTTATATTTTGATAAAAAGTGGCAGTAGTCATGAACATTTAAGGCAATGGGTTTAATGATAACGACAAGCGCTATTCGTAAAAGTAATAATGCACGCAACAAGTGTAATTATACCTGCCGATAGATTGCACATGCATTAGAGCTGACTATCTTAACTTCAGAAAACACCCACTATATCGGTAAAAATGGGCAATAACTCTTTCAAATTTTGTAAGGGAGCGATACAAGCTTTCAGAATCTACACAAATGAGCTACTTAGTTGAAATGCCATGCACTTAAAAACATTTTGTGCCGCACAGTAAAATGTTAATGGGCCAAGGCCTCTTCGTCGTAATCGTTACGTTTTGTTTACAAGGACACTTTCCTAGGGCAGATTCAGCCGTGCTGTAACTACTGCTTTTAAAACTCAAGACTGCACACAAAAAGAGGAGCAGCTCCGTGTGTGCCAATAAATTGTGAAGGGATACCAATCTGGGAGATTTATGTTGGTATTGTATATGAAACAAACATGGGTTCTTGCCCCCAACAAATTCGCATTTAGGTTTACTTTAATTTTGACATCTATCAAGAATGTTTTAATTTTAAAAAAATGATTTAAAATTACGCAGTATAGCTGGGATGCTTCACAACAAGTAATTTCACTACCATGTACAGGCGACAATTTATAATGTTACACTATAAAAAAAAACAACAGAAGGTCCAGTCCCTAAAAATGCTTCCTTCTGGAGTAATTAGGGGCACTTACAACATTCTTTAATACACAGAAGCTTTCTAAGATTTATTGTTTTGCAAGCAGGTATAATATTCCAACTTCCGGTCCCTGTGTATAGAACAGTTTTTTAACACTTAGCTAATTCACAAACAGAACATTTGTTCACTCTACGATGTGCTACATATTTTACAAGTTATTATCCTTATTCTCATCTTTGAGATAAAGATTACAGCACCTACTTTGCATTTCTTGGTGGAAGCAAGAAACACTCAAACCTCAAAATCACTGAAAATCTCGGATTAATGATTATAGTGCTCCAAAAACGTAAACTGTAACTTTGTATCACACCTGGTGTGACTCGTGTTAACCAGGTCTTGAGACAGACCTCTTAGCATTTGCCCGGCGTAAATGTTTTCACCGTTATGTATGAAATTGAGGGAAAGTTGAGGGAAAAATTGCGTTTATGCTGTTTTCATCCATATGAGGCTTGTCTTCGAACACCACAACCTTGGTCACGGTCCGGCGGTCACGATTACAAGCAAACAGTGATTTTTTGCGTCATTAACACCGATCTGAGCCTCTACTGACGGCCAGGTCGGGGTGTAATAAGAGGCTCTCGGCTGGACTCACGATAAACTCAAATGGAGTGCTGCTGGACACAGCGTGAACCGGCGACACATTTGGGATGCACCATAGTCCATCGTTGTCAGGAGTATGACCATCGTAATACTATGTTAACCGCAGCTTATTTTCCCTAGCACGGATCTAGTGTAGGAAAAAGAAAACAGACAAAAGAACAATATAGGCCTATTGAGCTTATTCCAACCAAAATACCACCACTAAGTGACTAGTTTCTGTGACTTAAACCAACCTTGTCATGGGAAAAGTGTCGATATTTTTTATGAGAAAAAATTATTATTTCATCATAATCATAATTATCATGACGTCGACAATAATATCAACAGCGACAAAAGCACAACTGATTACATGTAAATAAATGTCCATACACATAGCGATTGATCAGGAGGTTTGGGCAACAGGGAGGTTGCCGCCAAGGGAAATTCCCGCATAGAAAAAAAGGACTTTGCCCCCCCCAGCAAAAATGTTACCACACTCATGTGTTTGTGTGACTTTATTTATATGTCTTCAGTGCATCGTGATGAGTTTGCAATAGTTGTTGAGTTTTGCTGTTCGTTGTTCCCTAATCCTTTCTTGGGCTGTCTATTTCACTGCTGCCATTAGTCGATGAGATTTGAGTGGAGACTAAACGTTTGTGAGACATAAAACGAAACTACATTGACCTTAAGGCGGCAAAGTATTGTTGGTTTTGTTCTTGCAGTTCAGTTACTTTTCTTAGTTAGGGGAAGGGAACAGTAGGAAAATAAGGAAAGCCAAAGAAAACTGTAAAGAAATTTCAGAAAATCTGAGGAAAAATCCGATCAGAGATATTTAACTTTGAGGAGTGGAAACACTGGTTGCTTGACATGCAAGGCAGTGCCTGTCATATCTTTACAGATATAAACATCTAATGTTTTTCTTAGACCACTTTTCAAGGCAAAAATTTTTCTGAATACTCAGGTGATTATCTCTTATGTGCCCTTTATTGTGTCATTGGTAACCGGGATACTTTTGGAAAGTTATTCAAAGTACTAGGGATTTGTGGAGGAGATTTTTGGTGTGAAATTTAGGGATCACTGCAACTATATGCACAAGGGTATGCACCCTATGTTTACAATGGAGGCACACATAGTTTGGTCATGTGCAGTGTGTGTGCATGATGAGCAGTGCATGTTCTTTGGTATATTGTTTGTGTTTGTAGCACTAGTGATCTGTGAAGGGCTTTGATTAGTGAATGCGTTTTATATATTAATGCATACTGGGTTATTCGGGCAATTTATTTTCCGCAAGTTAAATTACACAAATTCATACCCTGTCATCACTGTCATAACTTTGAGAGGATCGTGTGAATTGGTGGCTTTATTGCATTGCGCGTGTTTGTAGCGTTTGAAAGTGTAAGTGTTGGTCAGTCAGTGCGCAGGCCTGGCCTATGTGGTCGCGTTTCCACCTTTGGGTCTCGATACAGTCATCCCTACACTTTTTTTCCTTAGGGTTCTCATCACTTGTTATGTGGACATCTACCTTGAATGCGTACTTGTGCGTATAATTTGTGTAGATCACATGTGTCCTAATTCAAAAGGTAGAAACAGTAAGAGTGCCTGCCATATCTTTACAGGTGCCCCGGGTCCAGACTAGAGTACTAAATAGCCAGAGAGAGGATATCCGACTTCCCCTGACCCTTTTCAGGACTTGTAGTACAACTTGGACCTGCGTGCCATCATTCGCACTCACCAACGCCAATAGTCCCCTGGCAACGCCCCCCTGGAGAGAGTCTCAAGGCAACCCCCTTGGACCTGCATCCACCTACCCCGCCACTCAATTCTCACAAATTGATATCCATCAGAATTGAGGCCTGGACTACACCCCAAGAACTGTGGGGTACGTCGTCCGCCGCGCTCCTACGAGCGCAGTGAATCCAAAGGACAGGGGTCGGGGAGGCCTAGGCCAGGATAAAAGGTTTTAATGAAATAACAAACACTGCATGAATAGTTAATCGCATGTATCACAATGTTTGGAGCAGTAGTAAAGCCTATATTTGGGGTGTGTTGTTGGCTAGCATGTTTTTGGTGGGTACGGCAGATTAGTATTAGAGTCTATAATTACCTTAAACGAGATGTCCCCATCGTCTAAGGAGAGAGGTGTCATCATTTTTCGGCTGATCATCAGCACCGCCAACTGCTCCGGCGTGCCTAGCTCCCTGTCCTCCTCCCTCGCCTTCGAAGGACACAATTAAGTGACCTCCGACCTACGTGAGATCTGATTTGATGGAGTTTGTTTAAGTCTTGGTTTCCTTTAGCGCACTCTACATATCGCTTACAGAATGAATTGTATATATTGGAGCAATACGTTTATTCACTGTCACTGAAGAAGTCCTACTCTGATTATTCGTGCCAGAGATTGGCAGTCACAGATACACATAACAATGCCAGGGCACAAAGTCTTACGCGAAGCATTTCCCTCTCTCCTTTGTTTTTACACTGCAGATCGTCTCGTATGCAATCCACGATCTGTTCCGTTCACATTCAGGTGACTGTGATCCCTGTCAGCAGAGATTTCTTTAGGGTGTCGAAAACCGATCCTCCATGGAAAACCTTACACACCTTGCTGAAAAGTGATGTTTCAACTACGTGCTTGGTTTAGCCCCGCCCCCCCCCGGAAAAACACTCTACACCATCAAATCTTAATTATATGTACACGTATTTCAGTGTTTACATATCACTCAGTTACATGTGCTCACGACCGAAACGTCACAGTCTACGATCGTATGTTATCGACCTTGCAAACAAAGTGATTGCAAAGACGGCAATTGGTTGCATACCATCTGGCACGGTAGCTCGTAGCACAGACGGTGTAATTGTTGTGTGAACTGGAATAGCCAGGACGCCACTGGGTAAACCCTGGGCTTCCCGATGTCCCCGTCCAGACGAAGGCACCCTTTTCTTCAATGTCGTTCAGTCCAAGCCAGAATGAACTAACTGCCTCATGCAGAGTGGCCTCGACGAACTGCTGCTCCTCTAGGCTGTTGATCCAAACAAGATGGGCCGTACCGTATCGCTGGGTCGGCAGCTGCTTGCAGTAGGTCTCGGCATCAGCCCAAGTAAGACGTTGGAGTACCAACAGGTAGCAATGGTCGCCGAATGAGATCCACTGGAACGGGCAGGGGTGGCCGCAAAAGGTACGGGTACCGTTGATTGAAAGAAGGATAGGCAATGCTACCAACAAGAGGTACCGTAGGGAGGATGACATCGTTCCAGAGGACACGCTAGTCTAAGAACCCATGGCAGTACCAGCTCGAGCTCACAAATCCACCCGTGTACACACAGGGACAAAATATGTGGTATATTTTGCTTCGTTGGTATATGAAATGAGGAGGCTGGTTGATCAGTCGTCCTCAGTGTATTGGACAAGTTGTTCCTATTTGCACTGTTTCGATCCTGATGGTGGCGTGTGTCATGGATTCAATGACTGAAAATCTACCAGGTCCTTCGGCATACAGAATGTAACTATATAACAGAACAATGTCACGTGGCACGTTCGCAAAAAGATCCAGTGAGAACGCGATGGGAAAATACAGTGCGTAGTATCCCATTTGCGTTTTCCGCGACGGCCAATTTGCTTTGTGTATCATCATATCGTGGGCTTATTTCATTTTTGAGTTCACTGCTTAGAGGAACATCAAGACAAGCTCATCGTTTTTAGAACTCAAGGCGGAGCTCGTGTCTTGCAAAACTCCTTCAGTCACAGGACGTTCCCGGATGCCTAGGATATGTTTTAAACTTGTAGGTACAGGCGAAGTCGATCTCCAAGATCAAAGATGGCCTTTCAAAGGTGATCTTATAATCCACGGGGCTGATGGGAGGCGGGTGTTTCAAATGTGGGGTCAAGTGTTAAGAAAACTTTCTATTCAATTCTGGAACGAATCAAAAAATGGAAAAAACATTAAGTCGACATCCGATAACTCGTTCAATGCAGGCCTAACATAAACATAGAACTGAAATATTTGAAAATGTCTAATTTATGCTCTGTATCTCTGCCAAGTTTTCTCGAAGTAAAGAAGTTTTCTTAAATCAAGAAACCATTCCAAATAGAGAGGGGAATACCAGCAAAGTGTGGATATCCATAATGACTCCGTGTGTTTGGCAGTTTTGTCAGAAGATAAATAGACCTCTTCACTGATAAATAATGCACGCATGCACACAAATGGCCTTGGCGGCAAGAAGTGTGAGCGGGCCATTGAAACGATTCAGGAGTGCTACTTTGATGATCATATTCTTTCGATGCACTGGTTGGTTCCAAGAACACTAACGATGTTATTTATACTACTTATGATAGAAGGGGGCCTGCATATAGGAAACGTCGATCTCGTGCACACAGGAAAAATCACGTAGGCCCTAAAGTCTTTAACAGAGCACTAAAATTACAGCCTGGATAAGAAACTAATAGCAAAAACGATTTAATTGGACTTTCTGAAAAAAAATGAACAAAGCCATAAAACCCGTGACAGAAACTTATAATCAAAGTCGCTTCTCTTTTATGCGCATGCGTGCATAATTATGTAATACTGGAAAAGGTCTATGACTTCGACGGACAGATACGACGTGTGATACAATATCGATTCTCCCTCTTTGAAGAAACCCCTGTCCTGAAAAAAAATCAATACTGCCTCAGTCTGTGGAAATCAAAATATGAAAAAACGAGATTCTAACATAAACAAGTTCTCAGTTATGTGTAAATAATTTACCAAAACTTGATGTGCTTACAGACAGTATTGTAGACCTGGTCTCGGTCTCAAGACCGTCTCGAGACCATTTATGCGGCCTCGGTCTCGCCCTGTCAAAGCCTCGGTCTTGGGAGGGCCGGTCTCGTTCTCGAAAGCGCCGGTCTCGGTCTTGGTCTCGGATGCCATAGTCTTGGGTCTCCCATCGAGACCAGTTGAGACGATAACAAAATGCGCATCTAGCTACCATACATGCACGCGGCTGCAAAAGGCAAAATTACCTCCGCTCGAGTCAAATTCTACCACTGATATAAATAAAACACAGTAATGTTCAGATTTTTTGCAATAAACAATTAAATCGATGCTGGAATGAAGACTAGTCAATGCAGCATGATGCAACCTTGTCTCAATTTGTTACTTTATTGACACCATGGAGTTGCGGTTGTGTGTAGCGGAATTCGCAGAGTACTAGACTGGTTCCCGTTCCCTACGTAATCTCCTGCTAAACGTACGGCCGGGACGGGAACCAGTCTGGGTGTGTGCGCACGATATTTTGTGCACGTGTAAAATAGCTTTCATTCCGTCGTGTATGTGGTACGTGTTGTTTTAGCAGTTTCGTTACGGTAGGCTTACATCTTTTTTGGATGTTTGTTTTTTAGTAGTTTGCTTACAAAAACAGTCTAAGGATATTTGTTTTAATGTTAACATCATATCATTTGGGACACTCTGGTTGAAAATGACCAGACGGGTAAAAGTAGAGCTGTATACTAGTATCACTGATAAAAGAACGGAGAAATTCATTAATTAACAAATATTTGACCTACTTGTGTGTGAGGTTATGCTAATGTTTTCATTTTATTTCTGTTGTACTTAATTGAACTGCCATATGTTTGTATCCCTATTGACCTTTTGGTAAAGACTAAACATTGGTGTATGGTTGGTCTCGGTCTTGGCGGATGTCGGGGTCCCGGTTTCGACCTGCAAAAGAAGGAGTAGCTAGGTCTCGGTCTTGGTCTCGTATACCCTGGTCCCGGTCTCCGGTCTTGGTCTCGGATACAACACTGCTTGCAGGCAGTCCCCATGTTCAGCATTTCTGCACGGTAGGGAAAAAAAAGGAAAGTGTTTTTCGTTGCCCCATAACTTTTCTGCTTGATTTTCATACAGCTGCATACCACAAGGCACAACTTTTCATTGAGCAAGGATAGGCCTCCATCGCACGTACTGCACGACGTGCGATTCGGTTACCGTACCAGCAAGGCATCGATAATGCCGCGCCCTGAACATTGTACACGTAGGCTGAGTTCGGGCGGCTTGTTCTCGTATGTTCAGGAACAGCTCGAATTGTTGTTTCACGGTGGGTCGGCCGCTCGAACGCTGGGAACGTACAACTAGCTACTTGTAGCAAGCAACATGGCGGCGTCCTTGTACATTCTTCGAAAGTTAATGTTTGGGCTAACTTCTTTTCCATATCTGTCATATCTGTCATGGAATATTATTGATGTTAATTGTGCAAAACTTTCCATTGTCTCCATAGTTTTTGCAGCTTTTCAAAAATCAAATCTCACGAGTTTTCCCGCGTGTTCGTGTCAAAACCCTGACGAGGAGGTGGTGTGTGAACCTGTTCCGAGAACAGTGTTCTTGGGTTATGTTCCCGCCGTTCGAGCGCAAGAACGCGAAACCCGTGTCAAGACCAGGGCCGCCCGAACTCGACCGTACAGTACGTGTGCAGCATGCCCAACGATTATGTACGTACTTTCACCATGGAAACTTTTGTAAGGCGCCCTCCAGCGATTCCATACGTTATTTAGACGGGTCCTTCGATTCTGTCATCAATTCTGCTATAGATTTGGGTCATTCTTCTGGGTACCTGCCAGCAAGGCGGTTCCGTAAATCGGGTGGGTTCGTACGCATACATGCGATTAATGATTAATGGTGCTGCTCACGAGTAGATTTGAAAGTTGGGTCACATATGTATCACTGTGTTTTGACTGAGTCTGTGAAATCCTCGCAGGTAGGCCCTAGGCCCAAACAGTACTAGGCCTAGTAACTTTAGTGGTAGCTCAGGAATTCGTTGCTACTTGGAAGACATCTACCCAGATCGAGTGGATAGAACAGACATGGCCTGAAAGTACTTACAGACATGAGACAGAGAGTTTTTGTTTTACTGCATATCCGGCATCACCCTTCAGTCATGTGTCAGCCATTAGGCCTATCACTAAGTGTTTTCCCCACTCAGGACGAATTTGGCCCAACTTGTACATGTACATCACACAGACATGACAGAGTCCATTTTATAGTTTATCATGTTTATAATTATAGTTAACTATTAAAGTAAAAAACATTCTCGGTCTCTGGTCAGACCAAAGTTCCAGAACTGATGCGGCGATGGGTTGTTTTATTTGTTTTGTTTGTTTTTTAAGGGGGGTGGGGTTGGCTTTGTAAGACTGGCAACGGACATGGAAATGAGTGGCAAATTAAATTAAAGAGCAAAGGCTAGTAGTAGCACATCATGCAGCCATTGCTAAATTTATTGTTGAACAACTGGCTGCAACTTTGTAACATTTGTGTACCCATGGTCTACTGTTTAGTGCTCGACATCAACATTAAGCAGTCGTAACGGATCTATCACCGGGTACAAGGTACCCACAAATTAGTCTGTTTTCTTGAACAAATTGCCCTTCCGACTTATGGATTTGTGGCGGGGAATCAGTCTACTCGTGAACATTCAGACGGTGTGGAAATAATGTAGATATATCGCTGTTTTGAAAATTTTGAGAAAAAAACCCCAGAAAAAGCACACATTGACGCCCATGTTCAAAATGGACACATGCACTGACCGGAGACAGACCATTATTTGTTTGGCCTAAGTGATGGAAGCCTGTACAGAGAGCCTGTTTAGTTTGCACCTAGCCCAGTTTGGATGACATTTTCATCACATTACAACTAACATCCAGCATGTCCATGGTATGGGGCAGCGCGGACATCCAGGAGTTTCACAGAATTGTGGGTAGCAAACACACCGCCACCGATGGAAACAACTGCAATGAGCGTATGTGTACGTACTGATCAAAGAAAAAGTGTTCTATCCCAATCCTTGGACTGGCTGGTGTGTGCGTACGCCACCATAGCCCCTTAAGTAAAGAACATTCCAGTGCAATTTTAGCTCACAAAATCCATTGGATGTTTGATAATGTCCCTGGACATGCTGGATAAACTTGATTGAAAGAATCAAAAATAGTTCAGCGCCCAGTATATCAACAAAAGGAGTTTGTTGGGCCCTGTTTACTGGTCTAGGTGTGACCCAACTAAGAGCTTGTCATTTACCCAATGCGGGTAAGAAATTCTTGAGGTTTTTTAACTGAAATTTTGTCGAAATTTACTGAAACTAGAGCTATGAGGATTAAGTAATAGATGCTCTAGGTCAAAATGTCAACTGGTTATTTTGTAAAAGAAACAGGATACCAAAAATAAGGAACACCGTTTTTAGACCACCAGACTGACCAATTACTTGAAACATCAGAGGTTTCACTCACTAATCTCTAAGTCCACCATACTTTGCACTTCATGTGCATCACGTGAGGGCACATGTCGCAGGCCAGTGGCACATCTATCTCCTGCTTTTTGGTTCAACCATTTTCGAAGGGGGGGTTGAAATCTTGCTTTACATGACAAAGCTACGCAGCTAGTCACTCAGCCAGGATGGTCGAGCACACTTGTGCTATAAAAACAAGATTCCACCCATTATGTGCAAGGTGACATGGAATTTTATAAACTTTTGAAGGGGCAAACATGTACATGTTCATGGTGGTCCCATATTGAACTCTTAACCTACTGTTCAAGCTGATACCTTTAGGGATTTCCAATTAACAGACTCCTAACTGCACATCGTTGGAAAAGTCTACGGCCCTACCTTTCCTAAGTGACTTGTTTGCTGTTTGCTTGAATCTTTCAGTTAGTGCTGCTACTCTAGGCTCTCCGCCTGTGGGAGAGAGCTGCGGCCATGGAACTCAGCCCCGCCGCGATCGCTTTCCTGGTTGCATCGTCCTGCATCTTCTGGTCCTCCCTGTATGGCCTTTTCTGCTACCTCTGCCCGCGGCGGTCTTATGAGTGGAACTGCCGAGCCGTGACCTTCATACACGCGGTCACCATTGTGGTCATGTCCTACGTCTTTGGGATCTACTACAACCCGTGGCCCTTCACACATCCAGGTAATGAAGCAGTGAGCAGAATTCAAATAATGACCAATCTCGTTAAGAGCACAAGGGAAAGTGACATACATGTACAGTGCATCATGCACAGAAGTTGTGCACGTGATGTAAATGTACAGTTGAACCATATTAGTAAGAGGTCCTTCGGACTTTGCTGGTGATCTTGTTATATAAACAGAAACTTTGCATTATCTGGAATAAAAACAGTCCAGAATGCGGGATTTGGGGCCTGAAACCTTCCTTGTAATGAGCAGCATTTTGTATGAACAGTGCTCTTATTAACGAGGTTCGACGGTTCATGTACGTGTAGGTCAGTTCATCGTGCAAGCGGCAATATGGCACCAGGTCTGTAGTGGAGAACATCATGTGTCCTGTCACAACTTCTTTGACCATTCCAGCCACATGGCCTTTCACAAGTTCATTCAGAAGTCCAGAAGTCCAGTCACATAACTTGTGACTTGGATTAAATGGTCTAGGCAAATGAATTTTTCCTGTAAAATTCCTTCCGTGCAACATAATAGTTTTCTTCAGTGCATGGAAACCATTTAACATCCTGTTTGCTTTGAGTGTATTGGGAAATACACTTTTTTGAAGATTTTAAAATTGTCGATGTTCAGAATTTCAAGGGTGAGGTGTGGCTCATTTTTCACCCCTACATCAGCCCGGAACCAACTCTGAGATTTGTTGTGGTGGGAATAGGCCTTGTGTTACGTACACAACAGTGGATCACCAAAGATAAAGAAAACGGATTAGGATAAATGTGTCACTCTTTAATAGCAGAAGTATTTTGTTCACAAAGTAATTGAAGATTGTGTGACGTCACAGATTTCAGCAAAATTGTAGAAAATCACAGTCACAGTCACCGACAATGAAACACAGAGGTGTAGTTTGTGTGATTTTAGTGAAAACATTTGCTACACAGACCCTTGACTGAATGACTTGTGATGGTCATGTGAAAGGCCTGACTTCAGCTTTAGATAGCACGTAGACAAAATCCAACGGAAAGAGGTGGAGGTTACATGAACTGTCCCTTTTATGTCTTGACTGAACAGGTGGCAAGTCCAGTATACACGAGATATGCACCATGGTGGTCTGCGTGGGCTACTTTGTCTTTGACTTCGCCTGGTGCCTGTGGTTCCGTGACCAGGAGTCGGGCGTCATGTTGCTGCACCACCTGATCACAATCGTGGGCATCGTGGCAGCGCTTGCCTGGGAGCACTCGGGCACCGAGGTGGGTGCCACCATCTTTGGGGCGGAGCTCAGCAACCCCCTCCTCCAGCTCCGCTGGTTCATGCGGCAGACCGGCTGGAAGGGCTCCCTCCTGTACGAGGTCAATGACTTCCTGTTCCTGCTGACCTTCACCATCTGCCGCATCGGCATCGGCTCTTACTTCCTCTACTGTGAGCTCCTGCACCCCTTGCCGCGCATGTTCTTCAAGGTCGGCGCGGTGGCGCTCTACCTTGTCAGCTGGATCCTCATGATCAACATACTCTTGTTCACCTACCGTAAATATGGGAAAATGTACTACAGGTGGACTTCGAAGACTGCCGAGGTGTCACACGACCGCCCAGCCGTTGACGCAAATAGCACCACTCATGGACACGAGGATGGAGATGTGAGAATGCGAAATGGCTATGCAGCAGTAGATGGCTAGCCTAAGGCAGGAAAAGGCAGAAATCAGTGAAGCTTTGAACCACTATGCACCAGTCGTGGTAGCTCACGTTGTGAGGAGAGGAGATTGTATAAAAAGCTGTCACTGTATACAAGTCATGGATAGTCATGAGTGCAGTGACAAGGATAGTTTCATTCGGTGACTTTGATTGCCATCACCTCATGAAATTATTCTGACCATTGCACAAATTTGAAACCTGCTTAAATCTTCATCATCTGATGAGTAAACTTCCGATCTGTTTCGTCTTCAGTTTGGAGATCAGGCGAACCTCGTGTGTTAATATCTGCCATTTTACAAAATGGGGTCCGAAGCTTCACCCACTGGTGGTACCGTACTGTTGTGAGACTGGTTCCCTCCCTGCATTATTTTCCTTCTTAGTAGGAAGGTAATGTATGAAATGGGGCTGGGAACCAGTCAAGCGAAATGACGTTCTAATCAACCGGTACCATGAAATAGAATGAATAATCCAGTGTCATGTGATCGTAATCTACCAATCAGATGATGGGGATTCATGCATTTATTATGTTAAGAGTATTTGCATTTGATGCTCATCAAATTATTTGAAATGGAATTCATGTAGACTATTAAGTACTGAATGACTGCCAAGTTGAAGGCACGATAGTCTTACAAGTTTTACATTTTTTGTTACGTACTTGGATCTTATATTTAGTCAGGTGCCTGTTCCAGTAAATTTTGTGCTACAAGAACATGTGTGCCTACCTGACCAGACAGTACTGTCCTGTAGTACTTTACTGTGAAGTCCTTGATTGTATATAATTAAGAATGAAAACAGGTGAAATTTTCTTCAAACAGTTCTGGAGCTACATGTACATGTATGTGGACCCCACAGACATGTAAACATTGACCCAGTGTGCATTTGGAAAGGGTGGACAGATTTCACGCTTTGTGATTGGCCAGTACATTGCAAACTCTTGGAGGTGCACTACTGTGAATCGCCTTTATAAATAAAGGAATAAATATGTGCTTGGCGGGTGTTCAACGTTTCAGATCGGTTTAGGAGAATGGATGCAACTACAGTGTAATACCAAAGCCGCAGGCGAGCCACAACTAAGCACAAATTTATTCCCAATCATATTTGAGTCAAAAGAAGTCAACATGTGATGGAGTTCCAATGATTTTGTTCTAAACGTTTACTTTCATTACATACATGTAGGTATATTCATTTTGAGAGTTTAATCCAACATACATGTAATGTCCTTCAATGAACTTGGTGCGGGGGTGGCGCAACGTGTCGCATACACAGAGAGTCCTGACCGATCGGACCCGATTAAACTGCCTCGTATCCATGAGCCAGCGTGTGATTCACGCAGCGGGCATTATCACTTTTCAGGGGGCATTATCAGATGTTAATGCACGGTCACGTGTCGCGTTTGGACCAATAAGAATAGCAAAACTGTTCCAGGTATTTATGAATCAAGAATACTAGCGGCCCTGTGCTTCCTCAACAATCCATGCACATGTTTTCTTGATTCATGGGAAGCTTCAGACTTATCAGATTCTAACACGACAGTGCCATTTTGCATGGGGAGTAACTGAAATGATTCATGCTTGAAAGAGTAAGCATGACGTGTAAAGCTTGAATATGCAGTACTGTTATCTATGAACATGTAAGTATTGTGTGTGTGTATGTGATGTATGTTGTGTGACTGTGCTTTTATCCGATTAGGCGCCATAACTGCGGTGGCGCTGCACTCGAGCTCACACGCACATTCTTCAGCTTGACGCGCGCGTGCATTTGGCAAATCACGACGCCCTGTTGGTCAAAGAGGCATGTAACGCGCATGTACCACCTGTCCACGAGCGTTGTGCCACCGCAGTAATGGCTTCTAATTCTGGTTGTCCAATTATGCAAGTATTTTTGTTCGGGGTTGCAGTAACTACGGAGTTGTAGCATTCCCATTTACTTGTAGACACTTTTAAAAAACCGATATCAAGAATTGATCAGAAGTTTTTGAAGAATTTTGTTTTACAAGGGAGAGATATTTGTAATTTTCCAAGTTCTGTGTCGAGCACTCTAAGCCCCGCCCACTGCTCCTCTCCAGTGCCACACTAAGTCCCAGTTTCAATTTGTTATGGCAATGAAGCCATTTTTACATCTGAAAAAAATTAATGAAGTGTATGAGCCTCAGGGTCACACAAAATAAATTCATGAGAGCACCATAAGAAAATTGGTTGAATTTAGTGACGCTAAATCAGTATTTTCACTGTATCTCTGTGTCTAAAGTTGCTTGTGAAGGCATCTACAGCGGGAGGAATGTTATCAACCATGACAGCATAATTGCAGGACTGGAAACTGACATTTCCCCTCTAAAATTGTCTTGGCAATCAAGACAAGTCAGTATCGTAATTGACACGTTGGAATTGGAGTGTGAAGTCTGGAATAAAGTTTAATGAAAAGTTTCCTCCGGAAATCAATGAAAATCTCGGTACATTGGTGTATAATGCAAGCCCACAGCAAATTGGCCTATCCCGACACGCACATTAGGCCTATATGTACATGTACATGCCTACATGTATATACTTGTATATATTTCTTTTTTATCTTAGATTAAACAGAGTTTAAGCCTATCAAGTAAACTTGTGAATTGTTGACTTTTTATCTCAGTATTGATGGATCATGGAAATGTATTTCCATTTGCCCTCTTGTGACAAAGTCATTTTCCCCATGAGCTCACTATTTTATTATATCCAAAGTTTGATTGGTTTTGACATTTAACGATTCTGTAATGAAACGATTCTGTATACCATTTGACACGAGGTACTTTATTTTATGAAGTCTGTCCCCTGATAGTAATTCTTACACACGTAAGGGGCTGGTAGACAAGCATACTTAACCGTGGTTCGTTTCAAATACATGTACCTTGTACCTGTCGTCGGGGAGCTGGTCTATTATACACGCTACACCATCAGATTACACGATGAAGACCATACCAGTTGGACATGAAGCCCAGAGATAATATAATTGTGGCTTACATTCAAGCGATTACAACTTTTCCAAACAACTTTTTTATGCCAAACAATAAGTTCCGCGTGATTTCGAACATGGAATGAGCCCTTTGTTGCTGCCTTAAAAGGTGTTTCACGTGATTGGTTTGGACTTAAATTTGTAATTTCACTCATTGATAAATCAAGATTTGCCTCGGTACTTTCCTCCCTAAGAGTCACCTTTAATAATCAAAGAACCACGATGACGACACTGATGAAATATGCGTTTATCATCTTTCTTTGGTCTACACGAATTATTTTTGTCGCAGCCTTATGACCGTACGCCGGTGACGTGTAAACTATGGTGAGCAAAACGACACATGTGGTGACTTGCATAATGACTGTATGATATCCACTTATGTCTGCAATTAATGAAGTTTCTTTCCAAAGTGTGATGAGTGCCCTTGATTCCTTTTAGAATCCCGCCCTCTATCAGTTACCTGCCGTCAGTTTCTACTGCTTCAAGACAGCTTAACACAAATTTAAAGGGTCAACATAACGAAAAGGAAGTTTGGGGAGGCACACAATAGACTGCTGAAGCTCTTCGTATTGTGGGGAAAAAATGCAAGTAAACACATACACATGTACAAGAGTACATAACTGAAATGACCTTTTGCCTGGGTGATTATATCCAGGTGGCAAGAATCGGAGACAGGTTCAGGATTTTATCGAGAGGGTGATGGTCAGGCACGTAATTTATTTTCTTTTTTCACGGCCAATTGTTTCGGACTATAGAGGGCACAGTCGACGCATTGCGTTTTCAATGATGCACTAATTACCTCGTAGTAAGATGTCTTCCTTTTTTGTTATTAGCATACGTTCTTTGGGGTGTCTGCAGGGGGGAGGGATGGCACGTTTATTACACAACTGTCTGGGATACACGGTGTACATTCCTTTGGGAAAATGGTTCTTGAGAGGAGAGTGTCTTGATATCTAGTGGAAACTTCCAATATTGAAATGTTGGGCTTAACTTTCTTTTGGGAAAAGAAGAAGAAGAAAAAAAAAAGCCCTCCAGAGTCACGATTGTAGTCTTTATTCAAGTTGGCTTTTCTCAGCGTGTTGTGTAACCACATTTCGCAGAGGGTGACCCCCCCCACCCCGATACGCGCTGCAATTTGGAAATGTCTTAATGCAGGTTTAACTTAATGCATTTTATAAGCACATAACGGCATGACTGATGAACAGAAAATAACGTGGGCGAAATCCATAGTTAAACATTAGCCACGTCCATCCCCCCAAAAAAAAAATTGCGCTGCTTGTACTTTGACCGTGGTTCAACGCTTAAGAAAATCCCTTTCAGTATTTTAAACATTGCATCACAAAATGTTTGCAGTACAATCGACCGTAGGGGTCCAGACCAGTAAATAAGCTGCCGTAGACAACTGTGATAAATATCCCCACTTCAAAAAATCTGGGAAAATACAAGTTTCTCAGGTGTACAAGACACTATCAAAATAAAGCTAATTTCCTCATCTTTCATTTTCATTCAAATTTTCAGTGGCTTAACTGATGATTTTTGAAGATATTTCTCTCTAGAGAAAATTACCCCTCAAAACAGTCATGAAGCCCATCGCTATTTTGAAAATCGATGTCTACAGGGCAATTTGGACGGCCCCGTTTGGTCCGATACCTTCAGAAATACAAACTGACAGTCCTGTTCCTGGATTCCATCCACCTTTTTAACAAACCACCCAGTCCACGTGCCACGAAACCCTCTAATGGCGGAGAGTTTAACAGCTACAATCGTAATTCGGTCTACGGTGCAGGCAAAAATGGACCTATATACTGGCCTGCAACCCTGATATTCAGACCAGCGCCCCCATTCGTCACGAGAGCTGTCTCCCACGGGGCGGATCATCCCTGGGTCATCAATTATCCCAACCAGCATCCACGAGGGGTCTGAAGTGGGTTGTTTAATTATTAATCCTTGCGAGATCAGATCAATATGTATACCGAGCATGACGAACCATGATGAGCCTCATTAAGTATATAGGTTTGTATTAGAATAGCTCCATGATATAATTGTATGTGCGATTAAAATGCAAGACTGTTCACGCGACATACATTATGAACCGAAAGCATTATCGAAGCAGGTTGTAATCCTGAGGTCTGTATATCTCGTTAAACAAATCCATCCCTGTTGCTTTACCCATTTTTATTCCCAACTACTACCATGGAGATGATAAAGCGTGGCTTCTGGGAATAAATGCCGACTGAGATACCCCCTTCCGTCACACAATGCAATATATTCAGTGAGATCAATGAAAGACCTATGACCCGTATTGTTCCGTCGACCAAGACCAACTGGGAGGCGAACAGACGGGTGGGCTGCGCTTTGCATGCGTGCTTGTACAGTGTACATGTACAGTACATGTACAGTACATGTACATACATGTACAATGTGCACCAGTCTACCCTGACATTTGCACTTGCCGTTGCATCTCCGAGTCGCAGCTGACCACATTTCAACGTCACGGCTGCATGCGGTGGGTGTGTTTTGAGTTCCGCTCAGATTTTCAACCAACAGGTGCAGAGATAAATCCATGTCCCTTTCGCCGGTCATGTCGTCGTCGCACCCGATAATAATCGTTAGCTCAATCTCGTCGTCCGTATGCATACGATCCCACTGCACAGTCGCTTCATGCTAATTCAACTTGAAGTCGAGTGCGAGGACTGTCACAACCGTCAGGCAAGTAATTGCATGCGGATGCATCCGTAGGCCTGCAATATTCAAGTGCTGCCTAAATTTCGCAATCCCGATCAGTTGAAAGCGAAACCTTGGCCTCAAATTTAGTTCACAGTGATCCATTATGCTGTTGGGTGTATTTTTTGACTGAGTCTTGTTTTTACTTGTGATGGGTGTCATGTCACGGAGGAACTGAAGATTCGAACAGCGAATGTATGTACTGTACGTAGGCATTGTACGTACGTGTGTAGATTTATTGCTGCTGCACTGAAAAATTGCTTGGGTTAAATTGTAACCCACGTGAGGGTGAAAACTGCAACTACTCAATAATTTCAGTTGTTTCAACCCATTTGGGTGATTAAAAGTAACTTCTGGTTTGTTAATTTTAACCAAACAATGGTTAATATCCACTCATTTTGTGGGTAAAAATGAAACAGAAAGTAATTCTGATCCCAAAATTGGCTTAACAGAGCCCTTTTTTGGTAGTTGCTTGGGTTAAAAGTTAACCCAGGCAATTTTTTAGTATGGCAAGTTAATCCTTCCAATATCTGCTTAGGTGATAACATTAATGTATAATTAAAGGCAAACACAATGTTGCCATTATGTCGTATTATAGTTTGTCAACGTTTCCAGTAGTGAATCGCTTATCGGCACATGCATGATAATTTACATGGCTTGCCCCATATTTTTCATTCATAGAGAAACACCTACACAAAACAATGTAGACCCTCGTACACTGTACGCCATGTACCCGCTGCGTAAAGCTTGAGACTGAAGTTTGACTATCACGGTCCGGGTAGAGTTGATCAAATAAAACGAGGCTACGTGTCGAACTTCGCCCCATTTTTGACGAGGTAAATACTGTAATTGCAGACGTACGTACGGTGGTGTTCACAAGCAGAGCGCTTGCCTACACTGTGGATAATGCAATCGCTGGATTGAGCTCAAACTAGCACCGAACCAAATCGCCCCGTGTTGTTGGCGCGGATCCAGGAATTTTTCCGGGGGGAGGGTCAGGCCGAAGATGTTTTTAATGTCTCATTTTTACGGCCAGGCGGACGATGATGAAACATTATACATGACATGCATTAATTTCCCCCCCCCCCATTTTTTCTTTGCCATTTTGGTCTCAGAGCAGCCCCCGGATCTGCGCCTGGTTCTATGGGTTCGTGTACACTAATGGAAATAAAGAGAGTTCCATGCATTGTCACCGAAACAAAATTCATCATAAAATAATTATTGAAGTGTGGTAATTAAGCACGCGGCTTTGGGCACTCTGGTTATATAAGCACAACAACAGTGCTGTGTAGTATTAGGACACAGCCTATTATTAATGGCCGCGGCTTTGTGCAACAAGCCGACTGTCCTCGAAATAACTACTTCATTAGACGCAGTGATGAGAGACGTACGCCGTGGTACAGTGTTAATATTTAGTCTATAATATGTAATGTCGTCTGTGCAGTTAGGAAAAATTCATCATGGGATTGGTTTAGGCACTACTATGGCTCAAGCTAACATGATGTTTGCCATTAACGAGAATACAGTTTGTGGAGTATCGTATACAGTGTGCGTACATAATTTAAAACCAGAATCTGTAAGTCCCTACACTTAATTGGTAGGACACCATGGCTAGCAATGATGGCGTTGGTTTGACCATAGAGCTCTATGGTTTGGCTCTATGGCTTGACGTCGGCTATCGTCGGAACCGCGGTCCCCCGTAGTTGTGTATCTGACAATGTACTGACGTTGGCAGAATTGGACAGCATTTTTACGTCGGCTCGCCGCTGCTAGTAAAATGCTGATGCTTATCATTGCCATCATTTGGAAGTCATGTTACTGGTTTTAGTCCCTCTAAAGGGTCTGCACAATGGGCTTTGAAATGCTCACACACACCTGTTTTACGTACGAAGTGTGGACATTTCTTTGTTCTGGTGTGGTTAAGGAAACTTGAAGAAAATGCTCTTTTCTCTCAAACTAAGATAACTCCTTCGAACTGGATTTTTTTTATAATGATTTCCTGGATTGTTCCTCTTCATTTTTCCACAGATAACCTTGACCCTTAAAATGCCTCTGAAACTTTTTTTCAGAGAGGGGAAAGCATTGTGTGGACGTGTGCGAGTCCACACAACGCCATTATACCCTACATTATGTGGACTTCTTTTGAGCAGAGAGGACCTCCAAATAACGCGTTGGGCTTTCAGTGGTCCGATGGAGGAAAACTCTTACATCGAGCCAATTTCGCCGAACAATGTTGCACCAATGGTTCGACGAGAGCGAAACCGGATGTACCTTTCGAGGGGATAAAATAAAGGAACAACCCTTTCAATTTATATCTTGCTTACATCATGCGTCTTGCTGGTTACATCTTGCATCAAACGACGGAATGTTTTTAAAAATGCTGCAAGAAGGACACTTTCACATTTAATTTGTGTATATAGGTGTCGATTTTCAGAAGTGTATGTGAAAGTAACGGACTTTAATTTGTGGGTTTAAATGTTGTGATGTGTAGCTCAAATTTACAGTCCACATTTCAAAGGGGGGTACATGTACTGTTTGCGGGATCTCATCTTGAGAATCTCCAGTCAAAATGAATCCAAAAGACACCTCAGTGGAATCAAGATTCAGTTGCATCTCTTTTACTGGATGCAGTGTAGGGCCTACACGGTAAAAACTCAGGTGTTAAAATCAACACTTGTTGGTGTTATCAGATGACCACACCAGAGGGTGTTACTTTAACACTGATGATGTTACTTTGCACACCTATAAGTGCAGTTTTAGCAATGCTGGCTTCGAGAATTGTCCTGTATTATCGGATTCCATATGTTGCTGAGCAATAATGATATACTCTTTGTAAGGCTGGGAAGATTAATCACTATAGTCGAGGACACAAAAAGCAGAACAAAAACAGAACTGAGCAAAAACACCTACCAGCAAAATGAAAATAGACGTGTCGTTGCTGGTCTTGTCACGTGACCCATTGTCATGAAAAATATGATTAGAATTTCATGCAAACATCGACGAATCTTTTTTGCTGTTTGCTTTGCCGTGATCACTGTCTCGCTGCATCGTTATTGAATAGCTCGCTGATGAGTGTGAAGCGAAACACATCGTAGAAAAATAACTACAGAATTTGGCGGTATATTTCGATGGAAGCATGATTTTGCTCGCCACGTTATAGCTAAATTTGTAAAAAAAAATATGCTACATGATGTATATCTCGTTTTTGTTGAAATTGTAAGATAGTCGGACCGAGAAGAGATTTTCTCCTGCTGAGCTTGTGCTGCATGACAAGAGACAGTCTGATCACATCTACTCGAGTTATTGGTTTACTCGGCAGGTATCACCATGGAGTTAACTGCGGGACTCATCCTGCTTCTGACCCTCACCGCGTTTGTGCTGTGGTCCGCCCTGTACGGCTTGTTCTGCTGGCTTCAGCCCCACCGATCCTACGAATGGAATTGTCGGGTTGTGGTCTCCATCCACGCAGTGACGGTGCTGTCTTTGTCGTCCACGTTTGGGGCTCTCTACAACCCTTGGCCGTTTACGCATCCAGGTTGGTGGAGCTAAGATAAAGAGTGTCTTTGTTACAGCTTTTAGTGGGCATGACGGTCTTGTATAGTGCTCACCGTAGTGCATGTCCATAAAAACCATATGTTATAAGCCCTTCCAGAGACCCCCTTGAACAATTTTACTGCCCTAGAGTAATATCAGTGTGCCGAACACGCCTCCTCTAAATCGGTAGATATCCGTGTCCTCATCATAGGCCTCAGAACACAGGCTCGTGTATACCACAGACCCTGTTTTCCATTTGCAGGAAGTAATTGAATTCTGTCTCAGTGAGCTTGAATACGGGCGCTTCACAATAGTGCGCCTCAGCTCCACGAGTTTGCAACGCGTTGGCCAATCACAATGCGCGAAATTTGTCCACCCAGTGCGCGTTTGGAAAGGGTTGACAAATTTCGCGCGTTGTGATGGGCCAACGCGTTGCAAACTCTTGGAGGCGCATTTTTGTGAATCGCCCGTATTAATAAAATCAGGCCATGAAGATCGTGACTGTATAGAATAAAAAATGAATCCAGGCAGATCTATGTAACGCGGTGTTCGATGTTACTATGTTATTCTTGACCATATTAGTTTTATCTTCCTGATGCATTTTCATCGTCCCCGTTTTGCTTTTTCAACCCACAATGGCTGCAGCGGTGTTGCTTCGATCAACCGCTCCCGATTCTGTTCCAATATCTCCCGCCCATCTCATTCTGCCTTCCGCACCCCGTTGCCACACTACTGAAAGGAGAAACTCAGTTTTGTATGCTTTTTTTCTGAATCTTTTCCGTCCAGGTGGTAAATCCAACATTTATGAGATCGTCACCATGATCGTGTGCCTGGGCTTCTTCCTCTTCGACGTCTGTTGGTGCGTCTGGTTCTTCGACGAGGAGACCAAGATCATGATCGTCCACCATCTTGTCTCCATCATCGGGATTTTCGCTTCGCTGATCACGGGCCTCTCCGGAACGGAGGTCGGCACCTGCATCTTTCTTGCGGAGCTGACGAACCCCATGCTCCAGTTCCGCTGGTTCATGCGAAGTTCCGGCGTTAAGGATGGTTGGCTGTACGAACTGAACGACTTCCTGTTCATGATGATGTTCGCCGTCTGTCGATGTGGGATCGGTACCTTTTTCCTCTACCGCTACACCACACATCCTCGCCCAAAACTCTTCTTCAAAGTCGGCGGGTTGGCTCTCTATCTGGTCAGCATGGTCTTTTTTGGGCAGATACTAGTATTTGCCTATCACAAATACAGGAAAATGTATCAAAGATGGAGATATGGGGACAAGACAAAAATAGATGGTGACAAAGCGAGATGATAAAAATCATCAGAACAGAACGACGAAACATAAAGCCAGTAGAGATGAGAGTTTAATAATTATTTGAAAAATGTCACTGTGTGTGGTCTTGGGTCTTCCATGAAGACTGCTATGGGCGAATCCGATGAGACGCCATTCCGAAGGGGCCATTTACACTCACGCAGATGTCTCAACCTGAGCGCGTGCGCCCTCTTCGGCAATTGACTACTGCCTATTGGTCGGTCAAGGAGGAATTTCACGCGCGCGCACCGCGTAGTAATGGCCCTGTAGTAATGATTTCTAATTTTGGTCGTCGGATTTGTCTATACGAATGAGTCTTATCTGTTAGTGGTATCCACAACAGAAACGTTTGATTGACTAGCTCACGCAGCACGTGTCCTGATGATAAAACTAGCCAGGGCCTATTAATGTATTCTCCAAAAGTATGTCGTTCGCGTTCAGTGGCACAATGCTATGCATACATATACGAACATGTACTCTCAGCGATGAAGAATACCGCAATACGCATTACATTATTGAATGTACCCTCCGTGTTGTGTGGAGTTACGACAACAGCAGGTTAGAATCCATTTTGGTTCCGAAATCTACCACGCGAGGGTAGAGCGTCCCTGTTGGCATAATTGGATGCTTTATTTGCGTACAGATCAACCACTTGTCCTATTTTGATCTCTCGTTTGTCATTGATTGGCCGTGGGAGATCAATATTTATTGCAAACCAATGTGCAATTAAGCCGCTATATTTGAAACAAAAATGAGTCATGCAGTTTACATGAAGTGCTAACTGTTGCTTGTTCCTTGCTTGTTTCTCACGGATCTGGATTGCGATCACTGATCCGTATTATGGTTCACTGAGATCAAAAACTCCCTCGTGCATGGAGTGGAACAGCGTCGGGATCACTGATCAAGAGATACAGATCCGTGTGAAACAAACACGCTGACAGTTGCACCCATTAATAGACCAGGGCTCAACGCCAGGACTGGTCTGTGCGCCTGTGGCTCTGAAAATTCACGTGCTACTTTTTAAAAGTTTTTGTATGAATGAACACAAAATTGTGACGTCGTTGCACAAGTGGTGAGTGCTTGGCAGCAGTGGCGTTCAGGGCTTAATGCCCGTTATTTCTCTCTCTTTCTCTTGTGCTCTCAATTTGTCACAGTTCTAGGTGTAAGCGGAGTCTTCATTCTGGTATCTCTTGTGTGTGGTTTCAAACCTCTTTTTGACTTAATGATGTACGAAACGGCGTTGGTTATGTCAGTCATGCTTGTTTCAGTTGCTTTGACCACGGGACTACATATCAGCGACAAGGGACTACTTATAACATTAGGTCACGTGTCTCCGGGCAAGACACTCACACATTTGAAAATGAGCCGAGAGTTTGCTGGGGAAGTTAAAAGAAATACTTCACGTGTGGTTTGAATACTGTGCCAGCATCAAATTATTTATTGCATATTGTGTCTGATCTCGGGTGTTTTAAAAGGAACATTAAGTTTTGATCAGGATCACGTTGGTATGAAATACAAAGCAAAATTCGAAGCCTGCCTTGAGTCCCGTTGTCAAGTGTATTTTCCGTTGTCATGTTTTACGAAAGAATGTATTGGCTATCGGGAAGAATTGGCGATTCCACGGTAACATCGTGATATTTCAACACGTTTTGGCGATACAATCTGATAAACAGTGGTGACAACATGAATAAGGTATGTGATTCCATGCGATACCTTTCAGTGAAAAAAATATTGTTTGGTAATTAAAATGAAACCTTTTTAGGGATTAAGTTTCGGCGATGAATTTACAAGGTCACAACGTATAGGTGCTGGATGTGAACCTCTGACCCTATACTAGTACGTTATGTGCAAATTCTAACCACTAGGCTACACGTCCCCAAAAGACTGTGTCTGAAAGTTGTGGCCATATAGAAAAAATATAACGTGTGCCTATATGGAACCTGTCGGCAAACGGCAGCACCCCCCACTCGCTGAGGTTCACACTGGACACCGGCCACTATTACAATACAGGTACATTAGCCAATTTGATGTACGGCGGACAAAATAATGGAAGGGCGCTATTTAGTTTGAGTAAAATCTGTTGTGTTTATCACAAACCTGTGGTGTTTACTCATTAACCCACTTCTAATAGCGCCCTCCTATGGGCCTTGAGCTGGACCGAGAGAGGGCGCTATTTTCTCAATAACGGAGGCTCCCTTGGAACTAACTTCGCTAATTCACAAACGACCATAGGAAATTCACGCGTCACGGTCGCATCCCTACCAACAAAATGAATAATTCCGGCCATGCAGCTCTTTTTTTAATTAACCGACGGCTGGGTGCTTCTGCTCGAGGCGGATTGTGTTCTTCTGTTATGGGCGAATCTGGTTAGGTCCACTAGTGTCGGGCTGCCCCTCGATTACTTGGCTACACGGCCGCCACGAGACCAGGTAATTGTATGGAAAATCAGTAGGGTAAAATTGTGCTGGGGACTGGGGAATGAGGGTGATGTGATCCCCCAGAAAATTTAAAATGCGCAGCCATGGAATTTTGAAAGGGGGGACGCTTACATCATAACTACGACACTAGGGCCATTGTTCATGCTACAGATTTACGTTATTTAATATTTATACTTAAACCCTTGAATTTTACATCGAAACAGGGCATTTATAGCTTAACCTATTCTTCTCTTTTTTTCAATAATTATAGATAATTTGGTTGCTGAGAAGTTCGAATCTTTCCTCAAAATCTGCCTTATTTTTTTTCTCATCACAAAAAGTAGGTGGATGATTTAATAGCCCACCCCCAGTCAAAACGTTGTTGACATCATGCCGCAAAAAAACTCCCATCAGATTTATGCCTCTGCAGAAAATGGACGGCTCTCCTAGGCTACGATTATTTCCAGCTGCAGCTAGGTAATCTGGAATCGAATTTGTTCAGTACTAAACTGGAAACTTGCACAAGTCCGTTGTACTCTATCATGAGTTGATTTGCGTTGGACTGAAATCCACTCAAAGGTTAATCAACTCAGGAGGGGCGTACAGTAATCTGGTTAAGAGTCAAGATTGCACTCAAACGGATTCAGGTAACAACGACAGGTCCACTAGTTATTGCTTGAGTCCTTTCGGACATGCACACATTAGCTCAACAAATTAATGTGACGCAAGCATTGATATCCATTATAATGGGTGATATGGACCCAAGCAAGGGGTAGGTTTGATCAAGGACCGTATAGTTATCCATAGCTCGACTAACTCTGACCGAACGCAGATTAGTCGACAGTGGTTGGACCAGTCTAATCAACTATTCACGACCAGCCTATCAAGGCAGGTGGCAACGTTGGTCACCCTAAACAGCTTTTAATAGCACAGGGCAGAAAGGGCCAGGCTTAATGAATAAAAATGCCGGAAAAAACAGTATGTCACTAGTGAACGACCATTTTCACTATAGTTTTTGCTATTTTGCCCTTCCTGCAGCCACTTTTTCTCCCCTTCGGCCTAATGACCTGACTACGGTTGACTAGGGTCTTTCGCACTTGACTTCACTACACACGCGCTAGGTACGAAGTCACAAATCAACCGATAGTTAACTATGGCCGTGTATGTTTGCACCGGGACCCAGATCCCGATCAATGATCCGGCGCTGGTTCACTGACACCAGAATTCGCATAATGGATAGGCCGAACCAGCGCTGAGATCACTGATAGCGATCACGATCCTTGTGAAACAAACAGGCCCTAGTGGTCCTTGATGGAACTTGCCCAAAATTGGACCAGCCAAGTGGTACCCTGCGCACCAAAGATCTGTTACAAGTAAAAGTGAAACCCAGTGCTGCAAAACTAAGGTAATGGCGCCCTTTAACGGCAACAGCAATAAACGTTTCCACGGATACTGCCATCTTAAGTCAACTTCTCTAAAGCCTGGTGAAGGAACGCAAGTCGTGCAGACACAGACACAAATGGAAGACACGTTGCATGATGTCATTCCACCAAAACCATTGAAACAAAATGGCGTCAGAACCTCAGTGATGTTTTACGGAAAATGTGCTTTTAGACTGACTGTACCGCCTCGTGATGCAAAACCTGTACTCCAGTTTAATGCATTTCATTGATGGTCAGCAATTAGTTGATCATAAGGGTGTGGTGTGCACTGAGGAGAAAACGGGCAAAAATAGTGGAACTAGGAGAGAGGGACATCGTTGCACGCCGGTCAAGTCAGCATGCGTGTTTGTATGGCTACTTGATGCAGACAGTTAGCAAAGTGTATCTGACCTGCGTTTGCCTGCGTTGTTGGCGACACCTCCAATTGGCGTGTTTCCGTGTATCGGCGTTGCAGTTTGTGTCTTGATTGCTTTAGTCTCTGCGTTTTTACGTCGATATTGAAACCAGGCTTTAGTTGTGGTCGCCTGATATCGGAAAGCAAACATCGTCGCGGCATCGTGTTCTTACGTGTCTCTGTATAAAGAACGCATTTCGCCAATTTCTGCCCCACTGCCCATCTAACTACCAGCAATATGTGTCCTTTTGCCCCAGAAATTTCGGCTTCACTCAAACTCAACAGTCAGTCTCGAACTTTTACCTTCAGGAAAAAATACACAGGAACTATCCCTCTCGTGCTGAGATTTTCGATTTTATTTCTGGTGGCAGAAATGGATCTGCAGCTGTATGGAGTCGAGGAGTTTATGTTCAGAAAACTATGCTTACCAAGCTGCAGCTTAAATCCAAACTGGGAACGAGGCCAAAGTTGGACGAATACAAAATGATAACAGTATTGAGGCTGAAGCCGTCGCTCTGGGAATGTGTGAGTATTACAATAATACTGCTGTAAAATAATAACAGCAACAGATTTATTTTCGGATGGGAGCCATGTCATCTAAATAACAAGATTATTTTTAATGGGCCGTCTATCTATATTAAGCTTACATTATAAAATATACAATTTACATGACACACAAGGACTAGGAATAACAATTAGAAAAAGACGAGCAGACGAGGTGATGTGCGAAGTTGACTTTCGTTACGTGTTCTGCAATGGAAAGATTGTACCAGAGACGGTGCGATATCCTAGCAAAGACTTAGATCAAGGTGATTATCCCCTTGCAACTACATACACCTCCTGATTGAAAACCAGGAAGGATTTTTATCTAGCAAGAGAGGCAGGATAACATCCTATACAAATCCCGAAATTATATGTGACCGGTTCAGTTCTTTGGAATTTCCAATGACAGTATGATCACTCACTAAAAACAACGAAAGCCCAGTCGTGCCACGGACAAAAAAATCTTTAGTCAACTAAGTTGTTATTACAAATTATAGTAATACGTAATATCGAATCAGTTGACAGATTTTGGGGGTTTTCGTAAAACAAAACAACTTGAAATAGACAAGAACAATTGTTCATCAGCCACCTTTTGGCCACCGAGCATCAAATGTAAGTTAAGTCTCCAAGCTACGGTGATTTTATCGCAAACTCAAATACTGTAAGAGAATACAGAAGGTGTACATCTGTAACATGAAAAAGCTCCTTTAAGGCTATGGTCTCTATCTGCCCTCCCCTTAGAGTTTCATAATTGCAACCAAAATCCTTCATATACACTTCCTCCCCGTGCATAGACGCGTTTCCAGGATTGTTTATAAGGAGGGGCCCCTCTCCTGCCAGCAGCAAGCTAACAAGCAACTGACGATGAAATGGGTCACTTCTCAGATATTTTCCATCAAATTGGTGATTTCATCCACTGTCATTTCTTTGTCTTTTAGTTCCCCCCCCCATTGTTTTTACTAGGGGAGCAAGCGCCCCCTGTCGTGACACCCGGCTCTGGGGCACGTGTTTGTATTACGCAACTTTCTGGGGACACACCATGCACTTTCCTATCGAAAAAAACTGTTTATTACCAGTCTTGTGAGAAAACTAGTCTTTACCCGATGGAAGTTTTCTTTTTGTAATGTCGCACTTCCCTTGGCAAAAGAAGACATCACGCAGGGCCACGATCATTGTCTTTATTCAAGTCGGGTTTCCACACACACACACAAATCGCTCCCCTGCACTCGTTGGTGCAGACTACCATTCCGTGTCAGTGGAACAGGAGACACAGGATAAAGCCGATAAGACACGGGTTTTTAGTTAGATATGTTGATCCATTAAGTACTCTGGCCAGATATTTTGACGACACATGGATTACTATACGTCGAGGCAGACTTTAGACTTCAGAAGGGACCGTTTAAACTGAAGATAAAAACCGTCGGGCACCCACGGTAAGTGACCTTGATGGGGCAACCTTTTACAAAGCATGAAAGTTTTGTGGAGTATCCAGTCAGTGCACTTTACTTTGATTAATTAATCTACCACTGACGCGTTCAGACCGGATAGCAAGCGACATGGCACCCAAACGGTGAGCACGTAATTAACAGCCTTCCAGCTCTAAGTTCTCCCATTCAGCGCTTGCACAGGCAGTGCGATGGTCAGATATGACACGGTGTTCACGTAGTACCCGAAGGTGTGCATGTTTATAGGCGTTGATAATGCAATACAAATCCAAATGGTTGGGTAACCGACTGATAATGTTAGGACACCAGGCAGAACCCAGTGACTGGTTACGGTTTTGAAGTCTATTGTGTTCAAACAATGGTAACCCACAAATGTTTTTCAAAGGAAACCAAGAAATAAATTTCAAACCTTAACATCAGTCTTGATTTGATACATACGAGCCTATATTGATCTTATGTCTACGTGGCACAATAAACGTAAACAGAAGGAATTTCTAAACAAAATTTACTGCAGTGTGAGTTTCATTCATTATTATAACTAATGAATCAAACCAACAATCGCAATCATGATATGTAATGCATTTGTATAAATAATTGCATTTCTGAAGTCAAAGCATTCAAGTTTATCTTTCCTTGTGGGTTCGCTAGAAGATATGGTAAAACTTAAGCGACTAAGAGAGAGACACAGTCCTCAAAATTAAAAGAGAGACGTTCTCGAACTCTTCCATAAGCACTCGTCCAATCCGAATAAGATCAGCTATCAAACCTTGGCATACAAAAACTTTTGAAAAAATGTCTCCCAAAGTGTTCCAGAATGCTGTAAGGATCCTATGACTGTCACATTATCAGCCTGTTTTTGTTTTTTGTTTTTGTTTTTGTTTTGTTTGTTTGTTTGTTTTTAACATTATCGGCGTCGGGCGTATTTGGTTAATACATAATCAATTGCTTCGGTAATCGTTACCGGTACGTTATCATTTGAAGACTGTCACATGTTTTGGCATTTTTCAAGAAATGTTTTGCAACACAATCTTTGATTTAATAAGGGGTGCTTGACCGGTCTTCAAACGACAGTTTATCGCGTATTATCAGCTTTTAACCTCCTGAGCCGGTTTTTAACGTTATAGTTTTGGGATCTCTGATCGAGCATCAGATCAGTGTGAAACAAGCAGGTCTTGTGTACCCATTCAACAACGCGCAAAGTGACCGTGTACCTGTATTAACATGATGCCCGCTGTTGACGCCAATGTACGGCGTAGTGGGAACCAATGAGTCTGTCACTCTGCAGTCAAAACTTGACACAAGTTCCTACTCTGTGTCGCATCGCACAGTAGGCATCTTTCGACATTTCAAAATGTACTTTTTAGGTGCGTTGCGTACACGATGCATTCATGCGTTTCACTTTCACGGACACAAAATCGACCCCTTGACATAACACACGTGTTCGATATGCATCGCTTGGCGCAAGTATTAACGCACATTGTGGAAAGGCGCCTTACGCTGCGCGCTTCAGTTTCTATATTAAAGCCGGTTGCTTAGCCCTGCTGGAAATGAGCTTCCAGAGCTACGGCTCCACGTCTATTGTCAGCGAATCCTCAGCATTTCACATATTATACCGGGTGAAATCCTAGGCGTATGATACGGCTCTAGACAACATTTTGAATGCAGCCAGGAGAACGTAAAACTAATAGCAAGTTTGACTTTCACAAAACATTTACTTGAATCTGGTCTAGTATCCGGCATTCGCAAAGAGGACGACGGGTAAAAATGCAGCTGTTCAAGAGTCATTGGTGAGGGCAACCATACTCAAGGTTTTGCCGCTTGTATTAAATTCACTGCCGAACAAATCAAAGCTCAACGTGGCTACAGAGTTAGATGAAAACAAACTAAATTGCCTTCTTTTTCACGAAGACGCAAATTTCTCACCAGAGACTAAAACCTAGGTTTCCAGAAAATTGCAGGAAAGAGGGGGTCTTAAACGACACAAAAAATACAAAACGATGTTAGACGTTAATTAAAAGTGATTGTGAAGACAAACAAACTCGCCTCTTTGTGAAAAGGCTAAAATTCATGTGACTTTGATCTATTCTTGAAAAACGTGTGCTATTTTACCAGGTACAAAATTGTTGCATTTGTATACATTTTCAGCGTCAAATTTGTCTCTTCATGAAAACAGTACAGCCAGTTTGACCGTGAATTTGCCCTTAATTGCTAACGCTATATCTATGGAAGATACCTTCGCCACTTTGTGCACACGCAAAATGCGGAATAGTTGAAATTTTGCCCCAGGCAGATCATCGTGATCTTGCTAGTTTCAGTAGATTTGGTAAAAACGATTTCACAAAGTTGTAGGCATCGCCTAACCTCATTGATTTTGCCCCCGAATAAAATTTGTAAAAAATCATGATTTTGTTCCAAAGTGTGTCTTTGTAAAAACAGTGACGAAATGTAAGACTATATGTCTGTCGTTTTAAATCAAGACCAAGTGAAATATGGAAAGTCTAGAACATTGGAGTTTGGGGCGATCTCAGCGTGGTGTGCACCTTTAATTAACATAGCAATGGAAATCACTCTTCTGCCCAAACATTATAAATTCTGTAGCCATAAAATAGAGAAACGTTTATTCTATCCTTGTAAAGCCAATTTGATTTTGGAATAGCTGTGAAATGCCCTATTCTACGTGAATTCACCAAACACTCTGTTTTCATTTTGGGAAGTATAGTGCGTTGAACAAATTATTTTTCCCAGAAAAAATTCACGCCACGAAGTTTTCTGATGGTATTGACCTATTGAAGGACAAACGACTGCACTGATTAGCTTTAAAGGGAAAAAAGGTGCATCTTGAGACCTAGGTGAAATCGCTTACATTTCCTGCGCGATTTCAATTCGCTTCCACCGTTTTGTTGGAGATTTCTCTCGCTGTTCTTTGCCATTCAAACATCTCAACTGCAGGCACTGTTCACAATATTCCTCATTGGGCAAGAAAAACATAAAGATGTTTCCCAAGACAAAAACGACTTGAAACAATTTCCACGCAAGATAAAAACAGTGTGGTAAGAGGGTGCCAACAAGTGATGTGTGGCTGTGGAAATGCATGATCAGCCGACACGTGGACTTGTTTTTACCCAAACCGAAGCCTCAGTGACCTGTGTAACCTGTTAGCAGCTAAGCCAAAAATCCCCTTCATTTTTAGAATATTTGTTTCACTTATACATATTCAGATATCTTGGTAACCGGCTCTAGTTTCTTCAAGGCAGCCAATGCACCATGGAGCTCAGCCCAGCCGCCATCTTGTTCATTGTGGTGACGTCATTTACCCTATGGAGCGCCCTCCATGGCCTTCAATGCCTCCTTCTACCTCATCAGACGAACGAGTGGAACTACCGGGTGGTGGTAACCGTCCATTCGGTGACCATGCTTGTTTTGGGGGCAGCATTTGAATTGTTCATCGACCCATGGCGTTTCCCCCATCTAGGTAGTTTGGTTTTGTGTATTGATAAGAGTAATAGCTATGCAGTGTTGTGGTGTTTGTGAGGTATACTGAAACAGTACGGGTGTTGGATGTGGTACGACGTCAATTAAACACACTTGATTATTCAATAAGTACTTGGTCTTCCAGCAAGCAAAGGACAGAGAGTTCACCGTCTCAAAATTGTTGGACTGTCCTCTGAATACGTTTGTATGGATTTCTGGGAATTCAAAGTAGTCCAACTTGGGGTATACGGCTCAAATTCACAACTAAATGTCGCTTTTCTCTCTCGCGTTATCCGGACATTTAGTGAAACCAAAGAACCAAAATACACTCTATAAACGTCCGGGTCAGATTGACCCAAAATTGGGCCCCATTCGGTAAAACCTTTTCCCGGGTCAAATTATGACCCAGAAAAGGGTCATACCGAGTGGGACCTAATTCTGCGTCAATCTGACCCGGAAGTTTTTAGAGTGTACTCATCACTATTTTGATATTTTCTCAAGATGTCACTTATATGATGCATTAATCTCAGGACGTCGTCATCTTGCCTCCAAATTACGTCATCGTGAGTTTGATGGCATTTCCAGGGCTTCGTAACTGTAAAATCCCAGAAGTTTTTCAGTTTTCGTCATTCGCTATTTCAACTCAGAAAAGAGCCAGGCGTTTACGAGCCACCTACAGTAGCCCCATCTCACACCTTTTACAGAGGGATACATGGGCTCTCATTTTCTGCAGAGTGAACTCAGTGGGCTGAAATGCAAACCAAGGCGGACTACTACCAGATGTTACGTTCCGAGAGGGGAGGGGGACACACGCCTATAAGCCGGAGGTGCCCCCCCCACAGCTCCCCCATCATGAGGGATAGGGTCTGGGAAATAATAATTGATGGGTGCATTACAGTGATGATCATTTTATGTCTTATTTCTCAAGGAATACAGACACAAGGTGCAAAACCAAATGAAACTCCAGACTTGCGTAACATTTTCTAATACTACCGAAGGATAACCTAAAGGCGAACTCAATTACTGTCGAGAGGGTCTCCTAAAATGTCAACAAATACAAAAACACGCTAAAATCACACATAGAGATTTATAAAGACAAAACTCAGAATTAATTAATCATCATAGTGTGTGATCGTGGGCTGTCGTTTTTGTTACTTTTTCCCCGCCAGGCCAACCGTCCAACAGCAAGGAGTTGGCAACTCTAGCAGTGTGTCTTGGCTACTTTATCTACGACTCAATTTACACCTTGTACAGTGGCAAAACTGTGTCAATGAATGTCCACCATGCGGTGTGCGTTGCAGGTCTCTGCGTAGCCTTGACATCAGCCGTCAGCGGTGCCGAAATCCTCTTCTGCCTCTTCCTGGGAGAACTGACCAACCCACTGTTGCAGGTGCGCTTTTTCCTGCGTGCCGCAGGCATGACAAAACACATCCTGTACGAGGTGAACGACGTCTTGTTTTTGGTGACGTTTATTGTTATACGTATCGGCCTCGGCTCGTACCTGCTCTACTGTGTCCTCATGGATCCGGTGCTTCATTTGTTTTACAAGACGGGTGGGATTGCACTGCATCTCATTTCGGTAGTTTTCATGGGAGAAATGCTGACGGTTAGTTATAAGAAGTACATACAGAAAAAGAATGTGTGATGAGATTTCACTGGATTAAAGAAAAACGTGCACACTTGTGGTAACAGAACTGCCATTGCCGGAAAACAGTGCGTATAGGTTGTATTGGATTTTATGGGTTCTGTTGGAATTATGTAGCGAAACCAAAAGAAAGTAACTGCAATCATGCTCTAAGAACAACCGCCCCCATGTGCCTAACTAAATCAAAACCAACAAACACAGAATCAAACGTAAGGAAACCGAACGAAAAACATTAAATAAACGACCAGGACAAACGTACAGTGTGATCGAGACCACGACCAAGCTCAAATTTAGAAAAACAAACAAAGCAAAAACAAACACTACGGTACCAAACCAAAAAGGGTCGGTGACAGTTTGATAGTTGAAAATTACCAGCAAATTGAGTCCAAGCCTTATTGCAGCATCATTTTCATGCACGGATATTTTTAGGGGGGGGGGCAATCGCTCAGGAACAAGTTGGGTATATAGTTGGATATGTACAACCGTTTCAGAACGGTTGCGTGTTAATCCACAAAGATAATGGTGAAGGCAGACATTGAAATAAGGAGATTCACGCGTGCCCATTGCGTGTCTACGCATCCGTCGCAGCTGCTGCACTATAACGTAGTGGCGTAGCTAGGATTTTGCTAGTGGGAGGGGGGCGCACCAGCATCTTATGGGGGGCACCAGCTTTCAGTGATGTAACTGACAACTGTCAATCTAGTCTGATGGACTTGGGAGGGAATGGATGACCCGCAATTCCATTCAGGGGCTCCACTGGCTCTCTGCATGGAACCGTAATTTCATATTCAACGGCTTTCAGTGACGCACAGGGTATATGCAAAGTCACGCGGGTTATGTGCCCGTCTACCCACTACGATCAGTCTGAAAAGTCACAAACATTGTGCAGAAAAATACAAAGTAAAAGACAGCAAGACGGCAAAAACCACTGACACGTGACATATAAAAGCAACACAAAAGTCAGTAGCTCACTCAATCAATTTCGTCACGGTTGCTTTACTTGCATTGAAACAGGAATAGGCGTTGCAATGATTGATTCAGTCACCTAAAGGCCTAGAGGCCCTAATAAGAGAGATCTCAGGAATAATTCATGTAGTGGAAAGAGCAGTCCCATTCAGTGATTGTTTGATGAAATATTCCATTCCACTCTGGTTAACTTTGTGCAGAAAATTTTATACAATACCTACAATAATTTGTGTTATCTGATTGATGGTGTATCGTAGATCATGTCACTGAATTCGTTCTATTCAATGGTACCACCCTTCCTTATGATATCTCATTTCCAGTAAGAATGAGGAAATTAACGTAGGGACATGAACCAGTCTAACGTTGCACGGTACAAAGTAAGTAGCGCTTCAGACATGAATCTGGCAAAATGACAGACGTTATTAATACACACTAGCGGGACCTATTTGCTCAAACAGAAGCAGACTTATGCATGCATAAAATCGGTATAAAATAAACACTGAATGTTTGAAATTAATATTGAATTGTTCACATTCGTGCAGTGGTAAGAATAATTTCATTCAGTAACGGATAAAATGTTCGATTCACTCGGCTTCGCCTCATGGAATCAAGCATTTCATCTGTCACCCCATGATGGCATTTTCTCATTTTGCACTCATGACCATCATTCGTTAAACCATCTGTAGCTTCATTACATTATTCTTCATACCAAGCTCAAATCAACAGCAATAGACGTGTAAATTAATTAAGGCAGTAGGTTGGTGGGTGGGTGGTATACACGTCCTTTCACTCCCCACTTCGCTTCAGACTCAATAGCACCACACTTTTGCGGAGTATTCTCTGCAGAAGTCCACTCGTTCCAAAAAAGTATACATTTTCAAAATGTTGAGTAGGTTACATGTTTCAAGTAGCCTATAAAGTATATTTTTCAAGTGATTGCTTCTACGAGATCTAGAAACATTGGGATTTTTTTTCTCAGATCGCTCTGTATGTGTTGTCGGAACGACTTGCCCCGCCAACTCTTCCACTCACACTCAACACTCTCAATTTCCCTAACTCATCTCATAATCTTTAACCTATCATAGTAATTTGGAAATATGTTTTTTTTTTCCTTTTTTTTTCAAAAACATCTCGTAGAACTTTCAATTTCGGAAAATATATAGTGGCATTTTTTATATCGCAAACTTAATTGAAATTTTAAAAAGTCCATGCACAGTGCAAAGACCTACAGAATAGTTACAATACCCACAGGCATACAGTTGTGTCCAAGCTGGGGAGATACAATGAAATTGGCAAGGTTTTTGATTGTCGAAATAAAACATGCACAAACACACACACATGCAGCTAGCCGAGTTGGTTGTACGTTTGGCTCTTTCTGCTTATTATAAATATCGCCGGCACACCTTTCACTTTTTGCCAAAGGGAACGTGGGCCAACAATCGGCAAGAGGTGGACAGTTTGCATCAAATATAAAGCAAAACAACCCCCCCCCATGAAAAACCTAAAAACGAAAAATCTCCACACTTCACATCATCTATGACTAAGACGGAATAGCAACAATATTTAAGATATTGACATAAGAATCATTTCAGCTGCACTCTATTGCTACGGTAAAAATAAAACTACATGTAAAAGTATAACTTTGCCTTTCATAGAAGGAACACACACAACGCATAAAAATAACAAGCAATCACAAGACCCTTGTAAGCACTAACCACTTTTCAAACGGAAGACAGAGGCAAACAGTAGTTGCATTTATATGGCGAATGGCAAGGCTTAATAAACGTGTTTCAGTGAGCAAGGTGATATTTTACAGCAGCATGAGGCTTTGGTTTTTTTTTTTTTTTGGTGTTTTTTGTTTTTGTTTTTTTTTGGCAACAGAGAGCCAAAATTGAGCGCCTAACCTTCCCCGTTTACCGGAAACACCTGGACGATTTTTGATAGTGCGTGTGGCATTAAGTTCCGGTCACCACGACATTGCACATAGAAAATAAACAGCACAAAAGGGAGGAAAGCCGCATTACGTTTAGTTTAAAAAATAAAAAAAGTTGTCAGAAACGGATAGGAAAGCAACTGAAGTAAGGTTTTGTGCTGAACTTTCAAAGTTCCCCAACTACCTCATATCCTCCCAAAGTGTTACACTCCCATGCAAAACATTATAATGATGGGGTCTGGCATGGATGATGTGCTCAATCAAGGATATGGAAATGTTGGCTCAGCCCATTTCGAACTGAATACATCTTTCTGACAAGACTGAATAAATAAAAATAAAAGTGTAGGGAAATTTGTTTTTCACTGTGGCAGAGTTCGTGTTGGTCATTTTTGACAAAAGCACGGTACTGTTAAAGAAAATAGTCCAGTTGTATGAATACCATCGTAGTGATGTGTCAATACTAGGATGTCCCGGTCCGAAGTGGTTAAAGGTGGGTTTGAAAATAACTCTTTTCTTTGGCATAAATGATATCCAATGCAGTGACTCGGAACGATTACGAGCAAAAATACTGAATACACGTATTTGGTTTTTGCTGGGTACGGCAGTCAACAGACAAATCGAGGAGACACCGTTCCTGCAGGGTCATCACTCTTGCGCAGATTTTTTTTTGTGCGCATTTTTGCAAGTCATCACAACACCCTATCAGTCTGACAGAAATTGAACGCGTGCGTACCGGCCACCTGTATGCGATCAAGAGGGCCCCGCAGTATTGGCTTCCAATTCCGGTTGCTGGACTAGCCTATAACCACCGATAGAAATACTGCCTGGGGAGATGCAAATTTAAACAGAAATATATTGGGTTTGGTTTTGGCTCGTTTGCCAACCGGAGCCATTCACAATACGATGTGCCTCTAAGATTTATCCCCCCAAAAGGGGGCTTTCTTTCCTAGCTTACAGGTTGTCGTCAGTATTCTGACGTCATCAGTAACTCTGAGACACCAGCTACCACCTTAGAAGTTGGTGACGATCTAGCGAAGGAAACCGATGTCAGGTAATCAACTGAAAGAATGTTGGACTGATCACGGAATTATTAGAAATGGTGGCAAAACAGGGATGGGGTTGGGGGTTCGATTGTGAACCGGGAGACAACGTAGAGAGATCCACATCAACGGCTGATCACCATTAATGCTGTTATTTGATGGAGACCTTTTCCCCACAATTCTTCCGATTCTTCAGCCCCATATGAGGGTGCAGCTGGATTGTAAATGGCTCTGCTAAACCATGGAGGTCTTTTCCTACCTCCATGGATAAACCCAATAGTCAACTCGCTTCATGACAAAGTCACAGGGTCCAGACAAATTACTTTGTCATATAACCTGGAGTTTCTTACGAAAGGAGCGGAAAATAAAGACGACCATAAAAATGCAAGAAATTGGAGTTCTCAAATTGGCTCATTCATAACAATATTTTGTTATGGCAATGTTCTTTACACCGAGAGTCAACTGTATTCAAATTTGAAACTCCAGACAAAGGAATTCATCAGTTAATCTCTTCAAATTTCAAATGACATTCAAATTCATGACAGTCAGAACTTCGACAGTCTGCAACTCATGTGCTCTTCATTAGCCCCTGTTGCCTTCTACCTGCCCTCCTTCAATGTCCACACAGGGTGAAGCTTGCCTTGTGCCATACGATTCGTTGGCCAAACAAAATTTCTTCCTTCCTGCCACGGTAAATGAAAATAAAAACTCTGTAAACGGGTTTTCCAAGTCCATAAGTGTTACTTGTGTTGTGAAGTGGAAAAAAATACCCGAGGTTTGCTTTTTTCTTTTGCAGAGCCAGACAACTGAACGAAATTTTAAGTATCATGCAAGTGATAAATGTTTTACATGTACTATTCAACTGTTCCTCTAGCTGCTCGGCCAGATCGCGCCGTTCGACGTCACGAAGGGCTTCGATGAGATCGCTTGTGGGCTTGGTCCGGCTTTGACACAGCATGTCAAAGATCTGGTTGTTTACGCTCCCTGCATACTCCGACTTGATTTTAGACAATTCTTTGTAGCTAATGCCCAGGTTCGTGGCCAGCTCCTCCCATTCGGGTCCTAAATCTCTGGCAAGTTGCCGAAATCGTTGCTCCTCTATGATCTTGGACAAGAACAGAAAGGAATGCTTTATCTATAATCCTCCTCAATCCTTCACCTGTTGGGAGGACTGAGGAGTGTTAGGGTTATTGAGTAAAAACTGAACACTTTATAAACAAGCCAAACAAACAGACAAATAAACAAACAAACAAACAAACAAGGCAATCTGTACCAAAGTCACAGGCAACACAAAAAAACGGAAAGGAAGAACTGAACTGTGTTGAAAAATCTTGAAACTCCAACAACTGCATGTATGTATTTGCCCTGTGCAAGATGTCCTTTGGAGGACACAGTCCCAATTTCCACAGATCCAGATCTATGACTTTGAAGTGCAAGTTGGATCAATTCCAAGTACCTTGTGAAATGGATTCATATGGAAAACATCAAAAGCACCTGAACATTCTTTGCGGTCATTTCTGCCCTGCAGATAATTTCCTATTGTTTCTATGAAAGTTGGATGCACCTGCTATCAAAACAAGTTAAAAATTAATGTTAAACACAGGTGCGTCAAAGAGTTATATTCTTCTTTTCATCACAGACAATGGCAGGTGATCAACTATTAATGAGCACACCAAAGCCATTCCAAAAAACCCTAAACCCTCTTTCCCTCGTTATATTCCTTCTTAGGACAATAGTGCCCTCTCTCGCTTCAGCCGTGCACTTGGAAACATACCACATTGGCCATCACGTAAATGTTTTGTTGAACCCTACTCAGGTTAGATTAATAATTAAAACTTACAGTTCCCACTTAAAGAGTTAGCACATCTCCTCCCCCCTCATCTGTGAGATCAAAGGACCCCCTCAGTCTACTAGAATTACACAAAGAGATGACAGATTAACCCCACTTGGAAGAAGGCAGGAGGTTGTTCCAACCCCATCCTCCATACGTTTTCCTCGATATTGCTCGGCAGGTTTTTGGTGCACCCTACCTTCAGAGATTCTACTGCTGATATCAAGGCTTTGTTTTACCACTCATATTAGGAATAATCACAAGCACTGTTCTCACAGAAAGACCCAATCTTCCGATACAAATTGGCCAAGATGTTGACTTTTCCCACTGACATGCATTCGACGCACAGGTCAAAGCCTGTGAAAGAGCAAACTCTAAATGACCACAGCTTAAAACAGAACCTTTAGTCGGATTACACTGAAACTATACAAAGATTCTCATCATGGATGCCTTCATGTAGGCCAAGTTTCACAAGGATTGATCATGGGGCAGCTGTGACTGAAGGTGATGGGCAGGATCCACTACCAACCAGCTATGACACAAGAAAAGTACACCCCTGAGTTATATACCGGTATGTTAACATGCGTAAGTATTTCAGTTGAAGGTTACTTACCTCATCATCTGATAGATTACTAGCACCCCTCTTCACACATTCACGTGTTGAATCTTAGGGAATGGAAAATAAGAAAACTGCTCACTGACTGGGAGTGACCTGAAATACATCATGAGAAAAACTTCGAGGCCCGCACATTTCAGGACTGGTTCAGTTACACTCTAATTATCAACTACAGACACACGGATTCTTTCAAATCACCGCAGTAGTTGCTTTCAGAGAATGTTTCTCCTTTCGCACAGGCATCAGACTGTATTTCAGTTACCAAGTCAGCTTATACGAATCGTCTGCGTCATACCACTTGGTCGTCCGCTCTCTGTGGTATATGGGGCGCAGCTGTGCTGTGCTAATTCTGGCTATACGCGTACCTCTATATTTTCACTGGCCAGGAGTGAGCGATCACATGGCCGGGTGACAAAAACGCATCACCCTCACCACTGGACATCTCATATCAGTGACAACACTGAGCAAAGTCACAGACTAGTCCATCCCCTGGTCTAACGTTCAAACCGATACATAAATGTTGGGACCACTATTTTAAACCAGACTACACACATTCAACAGTACTTCTTCCACTTACACGACGGAACGGATAACTATAACTCTAGTGGAAGCAGAGAACCGGCATGAGATACGGTCAGCTGTAACAGTGCTGCAATTTGGTTTGTCAACAGTTGTAGCTCGTTTCTTTGTACAAGTTCCTTAACATAATTTCTGCCAAGCTTGACGACAGATGCAGATTTTCCTCCAAAACGGGTTAAAGATGAAAGGAAACTGCTCTGGAGCAAGGCACATGCGACCAGCACAATTATATCAATATAGTCATGCACAGAGTGCACGTGCCTCGTACAACTTGCTGTGTGCAGCAAGGGACCGATAAATTTTCATTTTCGATTAATGATGCTAGACCTTCACTTGAGGGAAACATTACAAAGAATTCCAAGCACAGGTACAAGCGAACAACGCTCCAGGAGCATACCGCAGGTGGATACAGGATAAGGACCCTTACCAGCAAACTTGATGCACATATTTAGCTTGACAGTGGATAATGCTCTTATATTGGATTAATGCAATACATGGGACATGGACATTGCCGCCAACTCTGTTACCCTGGATCAAAGATAAAGTCTGCATGAAGATGCATTATAAGAGACCCCTTACAGGTTGGTATTTGGTAACAGCACCTTTCATATAGTAATTAAAGAATATCACTGTAAACAACTAAAGTGCAATCTCTTTATAGATTTTACACTAGTTGGAATTATTCAGCATCATGCGATCCCATGTATGCCCTACAAACCTCAGGCAGCGGCTGGTACAGCAACATGGTCTCTGTCTGTGTAATCTGAAGAGTATTGCGTATGGCAAAGTGATTATTACCTAAATGCTCTCGAACGATCCGAGCGGCTTCTCTTTGGGGCATGGAATCAAACTCCTTTCCAAGGAGCCCCAGTGCATCTTGATCAGACACCTTTTCCTCCCGCTGGGAGGCGAAAAAGAGCTTCAGAACGTCCCTGAAGGTGATCAGACTGTCTCCGGCTCCAATCAGTCTCTCTATCAGCTGGTCCAAGCGGGCATATTTTTCCAGCCCTGCTTCTAGCAACCAGCAAAGAACCTCCACATCCTGTGGTGACAGGCCGCCATAGTCACCGTACATCTGTCCTCGCTCCTTCTTGAAGTATGCCTTGGCCAGCTTGTCCTTTGTTAAAAGAAAACGAAATTCAGGTACCCTTGATAGTGCACGCCTTGCATATTAATGATGCCTTCAACTAATTATCTGCTTGAGCAGAAGCGCCCCCTCATTGGGAGAAAAGAGCCACGTTGGTGCATAGAGTTCATTTTGTTGGTGGTGATGTAACAGTAGCGCATGCATAGTCGTTTGTGAATGAGCGAGTGCAGTTCTCACCAAAGGAGCCTATTGCTGGGAAAATTGCACCCTCTCTTGGTCAAGCTCGGAGCTCATTGGTTGAGACACTCAACAATTCCAGTGCGAAACAAGTGACGCATTACAGTGTCAGATTTCTGGCAACTGGAATAAGAAGTCGCTGTATGATGCCAAAACCAAATGTGTGTACATTAAAATGCCTATTCTAATATGTTGTACAACAAAATGCTGACACAAAGGCCACAGTAGGGTCAAAAAAATATTTCAGGCATATATAGCAGATGCCTCCTCGCCCATGCCAGGCCCATTTCAATGTGTGGTGGCCAACTTCATGAACATATCTGTAAAACTTCTTCTTTTCATATTTCACTTTTCTGGCTCGCCAAATTCAAATCAAATGCATCCCATCCTGTCAGAGATGAAAAAATACCAGACCAGGTGACACACGGCTCTGCTATGGAAGACACTGTTGTTGAAGTTCAAATATAAGATTGATTGAGAGGGCTCGGAGTCAATCAACATCTGAGTCAATCAGCATACCCAATGGATTCCGATTGTCAAAGGTTTTAGTATCAATTCATTTAACTTACTTTACACGTTTGGCAGAAGTCTTCTGTTTCACCCTAAAAGAAACCATAAAAAATGCAGACTTCAGATTTGGTTCTAAGAAATGTAAAACCCCAATGAAATTCAGATTTTAGATTTGGTTCCAATTATGAATTGTAAAACGGGTTATAACGGGTTATATACATTTTTGCATGTCTGCATGGATCGGGGGCCCCTTTCTCTGAAACGAAGGAAAAATAAAAAGAAAAAAATGGGCAAAACACTCCAAAATAACTAAAACAAAATTTAAAGACATGACAGCATCCTGCAGATTCTGATGTTTACACAAATATTATTATAAAGAATGTATGTTAGGTAATATGCCATCATCACTCCCGCTTGTCTGCAAAAACGAGACATTAAAAAAAAAATCTCTGACCTGACCACACCCTCCCCCCCAAAAAATTCCTGGATCTGACCCTCTTACGCGGTGCCATGAGAAAATGCCAAGAGCATGGATAATATCATGATGCAATGTCACAGAAGAGACCAAATAACATTACACAAATACGGCATCCAACTTAAGAAATGCCTTTTTAAGCTACAGTGATGCTGTCTTTTGAAGCCACGATGGAACTCCAATTTGATTTTTTTTACACCCAACTATTAAATTGATGATTGGGCTGCGACTTTTTGGTAAATGAGATCAATGGGAAAAAATCTGTCCAACTAAACAAAGGGATGTATGATATGAACCTATCATACCAATGTGTACAATCATATGGGTCTAGTTCAACAACTTGACACAGATAAATAGCATTGTTGAATAAGATCCCAGTTTGCCGACTGTCTGTGTCCATGCTTGCATTGGACAAAATAATTCACATTTTACTGACCACCTATCACTGAAGAGTGATTGGTGACATTCTGGGCATCACACTGATATTATACCTACTTCACGGATGCTGCTTTCACGGTTACGCTTATCAGCGATGGAGTCAAATTCTATCAGAAGTCACCTCACAAGACCAGTCACAGGTAAAACGTGACAATGGGATGCCTTCGATCACAGGTTCATTTGAGCAACTTGTGACGTGGCTTAAGACTGAAAATCTTGTGATGGACTTGCAGGGACTTGTGATGGACTTGTAGGGATTGTGGTAGACTTGCAGGAACTTGTGATGGACTTGTAGGGACTTGTGATGGACTTGTAGGGATTGTGGTAGACTTGCAGGAACTTGTGGTGGACTTGTAGGGACTTGTGATGGACTTGTAGGGACTTGTGATGGACTTACAGGGACTTGTGATGGACTTGCAGGGACTTGTGATGGACTAGTAGGGATTGTGGTAGACTTGCAGGAACTTGTGATGGACTTGTAGGGACTTGTGATGGACTTGTAGGGACTTGTGATGGACTTACAGGGACTTGTGATGGACTTGCAGGGACTTCTGATGGACTTGCAGGGACTTGTGAGGGGCTTACAGGGTTTTGTGATGAAGATTGACAACAATACCGCTGCTTCCTACATACCTTGCGGCATTTGCTGCAGAGATCTCCAGGTCGCACACTCATCTCAGAGGCTGCCACACCTTTGGCCTGGATTTAGGAATAAAAAACGTACGGAAGGTATTATTTCAATTCTCATCCAGGGCATCCTCCTGGTTTGTTTATTTATTTATCTAATGGGGGGAGAAGAATTGGGGAGACATGTTGATTCCTGCCAACCTTATTGCACCTCGTGGGTTACAGTTAGAATCCCATCATTAGAAAAATCCCATAATATTATATCACGTCTTACAGGACAGATTCTTTCCTTAAAAAGAATACATTCGTTTTAACCCAGTTGAACTTGTTAAGAAAACTTTGATCAGTTATTTCAAAGCCAATGCTGCATGACACCATGCTTTTAATTACAATCACAAGATATGGCCCTATACTTGGCTGCAAATTACTCGCCACTCTATGGGAAGTGGTTGCAGCTGGTACAACAGAATAATGTGTAAATTGAAGCCATAGCCATGTAATTCAGACGCAGCCCATGTACACGTGTAAGCTTGACTCTCTATCATTCGCAAAGTTTGGTGGAGAACTATAGTTCGACCAGAGGTCAATTGCAGAAGACAATGCACACGCGAAGTTCATTTACACTTGGATGACCCTTGTTTGCCCATTTTTAACATCTCATTGTTACTCACATTTCACCATTGGCTGCGATTCTTGAAATCTCATACAATTAATTTTATGTCAATGGCTCCCTCTGTAATAATAAATGAAATTGGATATTGATAACCAGCGGTAGGACGGTACCCTTGGACCTGGTCCTAAAAGGTCCACTATCATTATCGGGTGGTGTTAGTTAGACTATATTCAACAATAGTCGTCACTTGCCCATCCCCCTGCTGAGAGCAGCTTGGACTAACCGGCTGACTGTGACTTGGTCTGATTAACACTTCAACTTTATCTCCATTCTCTGCGCCTACAGATTCTTCCAAGTCATCCTGATAAACGTGTCCATAACACCGCAGACGTGCATCACAGTTTTGCTGTCTATCAAAGGCAAAGGTCACAGAGTTTGTGCAGTACCTCCAAACCCTTTTCTTTTGAATTGTCTGAAAGAATAAATTTTAAGTAATATCTGACTTTATCTGAAATGTCACAGTTTATGGATGTCTACTGGCAAACAACTGGTACAAAAGTATACAACAATTATAATGATTCCAACTGTGATCGGACAGGATAAGTGTCATTGGTAAAATGAAGAAGAAATGAACACTGAGAAGGACCAACAGTTTGCAATCGTTTTGAAGGAAGAAGTGTCTCCAACATGCAGAACCGTTGTCACATGTCAAACAAACTGATCAACTGGTAATCTGAGACGCCTTCCCACCTGCAAACGTCGCAAAACTCTCGGCCGTACAGAAGCCAAACGTCTTGTCAGTTCACGGGTCTGGAAGACTGGGGACTCTGCTTGCAAAACAAACTCGAGGAATTGGGAACAAGCATTGGAAATAAGGAGTCTGAGTTGACTGGAAACAAGTTGTTAAGGACGATGCTTTTGTCCAATGGCTTTGTACACATATTGGTTTCTTTTAAGGGGAGAGGCACCGGTACCTGCAAATGTGAAGGTCCTGGTTCCCAACCCGCTGTGAGACCTTTTATTTCTAACTGCACGTCCCCCAGCACATATTCCACTTCCAGTTCTCTGAAAACATCCAATGGTTTGGTATTGCTACCATAGCTCATTTCTGTGTCCATCACTTTCTGTTTAAATTGAGAAAGAAATGATATCATTTCACTAATGAACCAATGCTTCGAAAATGCCTAAAGCAAATCAAATACTCAAGCAAATCCTACCAAATGCCATCCCAGCACAATCAAATCCAATCTGACACAATCAAATACAATCACACCAAGGCAAATTACATCCTATCAAATACCAACCCTAATCAATCAAATCCAACCTGACCTGACCCAACCCAACCCAATCCAATTAGAGTAAATACAACAGAAATGCAAATTTTGTAAAACTCAAAGCAGAGACAATACCTGCTCTGCAACAGGATCGTCATTCCAAATGTGAATCCGTACTGGGTAGCACTCTTCCTGGGGATCACAGGGCTCTCCGAATGCTCCGACTTTCATCATTTTTGCGACAGGCAATTCACCTGCTAATGCAGCACCGCAAAAGTGCTTCAGCAGTAGAACGGCCTTCCGATCTCTAATCATCACTAAGATTCCATCCTCCAACCTAAGAAACTGCCACTCTTTTGAGGGAGCCTCATCATCATGGCAGATTAGGGCCCACAGATTACTTCCTAACCCCGCCTTGGCATGGTGGGGGAAAGACAGGACCACTGTGTCTAGAAATGTCAACCCTGTTGGACCGCACTGAATCATCGGTGACAGGGCAATGTTTGACTGATGCAACCCCTCGATGGGTGGAGCGCTGGGGTCCACGTAGATGTACACTTTCTGGGGACTGCCTGCAGGTATGGCACCCCGAGGGATGTACAGGTGGACCTTGTACTTGACCAGTGCCAAGCTACCGCCTCGCTGGTCAAAATAGCCAATGGCCATGTAGGATAACTGGAAGACGTTTTCAAGCTGCTCACTGTCGCTCAACCCCGCTGTCAATCTGTCATATTCCTTCAGAATCAGCTGAAGGTGTGTACGCTTGGTGGATAGACCATCTGTAAAGATGTACAAGTGCTCATTGACTCTAACTTTGGTTGAGAGGCCAAAATGGAATGGAAGAAATAAAAGCTACTTCAATTTTCATCAGTGACTGAATTCCACTCATGGGTGCAATGATAAGAGTAATTTCGTGAGTTATGAGCAAAGATCGTATCGCACCGCGTAGCAGCACAAGATGGAGAACTTTACCGTGAATACACGTAAAACATAATTGCATGGGTGCCATTTCATCAAGCGATGTGCCTGCGCAATGCACATCAATGCACAGGTGCAGGCACCGCAGCAGGCACGTACACCTGGTGTGCCTAAGCATTACCATAAACTGCGCAGGCATTTCGCTTGCTCAAATGGCGCCCATGGTAATTACACCTTTCAGGCAGAGTTGTCCATCTTGAGCCTTCGGCGCTATATGATCTTTGGTTATGAGGTAGTGCTTCCACGTGCATGCATGTGTATCCTGCTAATGCTGTAATTTTTTCTTTACAAAACTCTGTGTTACTTTCTTTATTGAGAACATCAGCATTGTTCATGAGCACAGAAACTTTTACATCTCTCAAAAGATGGCAGAGTGTTTTGTAGTTATGGGGATCCCCTGTAATTTGTCTGTGTGAAGAGTTGTAATTGTGCCTACTACTCTCACCCTGAACATCCTTATCACTTCCAAATATTATCAATGTATGCCTAACACTTGACCCAGGAATTACCATCAGCCAACCCTATCAATATTTTTTCAACACAACCTAAAGGATCGGAAGTCTGTGAAATACATGTAGCCCTTAGAAAACATCCTTCATTTGTGGAAATCCTTGCCAACTGTTGCCAGCAAATGTAGTGTTGGATGTTGAGAAGTCTGTGAAGAATGCCTGTAACTTTCTACTGAGGTCTTTCACATGACATCTCTTGACCCATTAAGCATTCCGAGTCTGCAGTGGTGCGCGCATTTTCGAATCTGCGTCTTTGGGTTAATTGGCAATTTTGTGTACGCCAGAATGCTGAGAGACTTTGAAGGTGGGCATATTTCCATGCAAATCTGTGTATATTGAACACTGACCGTCCAAAATCATGTGACTGAAAAATCTCTACATGTATATGCTGGTGGTGCACTGAACAGGTCATTAAAAATCCCTCATATGAAAGCCCCAGGTAAATATCATCTAACAATCCCTGATGGCTAATTTCACAGCAAACTGTTTCTAATTGTTATGGTATGTTGTTCATATCAGTACATACTTGGGTCATTCTATGACTTAGGGGTCCAATTGTTTTTCTTGTTCCTGTCACATCTGACGTACACCTGTACGATTTGTAAGTTCAGAACAAAATCTCTAGTTTTCAAGAGTGATGATTTCATGCAACCTGCCCAACACCTAGAAATAGTTTGAAATCAACATGTCTACTTTAAATTACACAGTTAAGTACAGCATGATTACTCTAACCGAGAACAGGACAGTGATGTAGTCAAG